GTAAACACTTTCACTTTTTCAATATAACTTAAATATAATCTAGATATACCATAACATTAAAACCACTGGTTTAGGTGTCCCATTACTACCAAAACAGTTACTAGGTCATGGTCACAGGATGGCTGGTGAAGTTTTGCTGTCTGGTACTGGGATATTGGCAGCATAACCCTTTCTTGGTACTGTGGATTGCAGCGTGAGGGCCTTCATGTATTAGTGTTGTTCCACTCAATCATGTGATAGGTTTGGATGTGGGCAGTTTGAAAGCTGGACCAGTGCCTTTGGCTCTTTATCTATCTAGCAATTTAAATCTATATGTATAAAGAAAATATATACACAGTATGAGTCAGATGAGCTGATCTGTAGAAAATTGTCAGATTAGTAGCTCAGTTTAAAGTTGTCATGCTTCTTTGGTTTCTTTTCTATTTTTTAGCATCTGAATGAATGAAATATAAGGCCATCTGTGCGTATATATGCTTGTGCATTATGCGCATAGATTCATTTGTATGTATTTACAGAGGTATTGCAAATTACCTTATTGTTAACTACTCATATACACAAAGTACAGGTTGATAAGATATTTCTGCACCTTTTTTGTTTGCCTTGATATGACTGTGGAATTTATTATGATTTTACATATTCTAACCCATACATCGTAATATAAGTGCACTTTGCAACCTCCGTGCCTTTCTCTTGTCTTTTATAGATTACTCCTGTTTCTTATTTATTCTTGTTGTCTTACTATTTATATTTGTTTCCTGCATAGTTGGCGTGGAGCACCCACAATTTCATTGTACGTGTACAATGACGGCACGGTGGTTAGCACTGTTGCCGCACAGCAAGAAGGTCCTGAGTTCAATTCCACCATCAGGCCGGGGTCTTTCTGTGTGGAGTTTGCATGTTCTCCCCGTGTTTGCGTGGGTTCTCTCCGGGTACTCCGGCTTCCTCCCACCATCCAAAGACATGCAGCTTGTGGGGATAGGTTAATTGGATAATCCAAATTGCCACTAGGTGTGAATGTGCGAGTGAATGTGAGTGTGTCTGTCCCTGTGTGTTAGCCCTGTGACAGACTGGCGACCTGTCCAGGGTGTACCCCGCCTTTCGCCCTATGACAGCTGGGATAGGCTCCAGCGCCCCCCGCGACCCTGAAAAGGATAAGCGGAAGCGAATGGGTGGATGGATGTACAATGACAATAAAGGGCTATTCAAAAGTGTACATGGCGAGGTTCCAGGAGGATGACTGTTATCATTATGGTCATTGTGCAAGTGCAACCTTTATAAGGTTGGACAGGATCCAAAAACCTCCAGGCAGGAAGTTACTTTTATCCATAATTGTTAATGTGACTGGCGAATATGGATAAAAAGAACACAAGCCAGTATTCATATTGTGAAACTATTTGGATGATGAATGAACTTTAAACCGCGTAAAATAGGGCTAATTTGAGCACTAATACGGACTATTTTCTTTAATTTCAGCTAAGTTGTGGGCCGCGATGAAAGAGAAGTTATTCAGTGATGTTGAGAATAAACAAGAGAACATACCGACCTTTCGAGGCATCAGCCTCTGCCTTGCTGTACTCCTCCAGCTTAAGGTAGCACGCAGAGCGGTTACGGTACAGTACAGCTTTGTCTGCATGGCTGTCAGTCAGCTTCAGTGCTTTGGTGTAACAGCAAACAGCACCTTGCATGTCTCCTGCCTTGAAAAGAGTGTTTCCTTCCTCTTTCAGGGCGGCGGGGTCCTAAAGTAAAGACGGGGGGAAAGGTAGCAGCGGGATCACAGAGAAACTTCGATCAAATGTATTTGACTGAAATTAGCTAAGCTAGGCAAAAGTAGCGAATTGTTTCTCTACATTACCTTTTCTTTTTCAGTATCACTCATCTTTAAGGTGTCGCACACAGTATAATGCAAATATGTAGATTTATTTTACTATACGTGGTCGCAAACACCGCTAACTCCAGCCAAACATGTTACATCTTTCTACACTTCCGGGTGTCGGAGCACGTTGATGACGTGCACCGCCCTTCTCGCCCACGCTGTATTACCATAAAAGGAAGAGAACAGCTACAACGTTTCTGCCTCCATCTCCACTTTATTTGGTTATATTTCCATTCCATGTGGCTTTCTTCAGTCCATGCAGACACAGAGAGTTATATCAGGCTACTTATGTCATAAAGAGGGGTTGTGAAAGCCAGCAGTTCATTTTTTTCATACATTCACCATATCTGTCCGAGAACTGTAATATAGCAATATAGAACTATTTTTTAAAAAGGAATTACACATGATAAGAACATTTGGGTTGTTAGGTTGTGGGAAAATCACTCGTCTGACTGAGTTGTTCTCCACTCGCCACATTTTGTAAATGTAATCACAAATGATCAAAGTTATTGAATCAATAGAGCAGCTTTAAATGATATATTTTTAAGAATTCATTTATGTGAAGTTTTAACATAAATGTTATGACTTTTGTCATTTTTGCCTTTAAAAAAAAGAAACTAGTTATTTTGATTAACTGTATAAGTGTATGCGTAAGTCTGATTAACTAAGTACCACTCAAAGATAAATTGATCTTTTACTGTAATTATTTCAAATTTTTTAGCACTGATAAATGTCAGTAACTTAGATAAGTATCCTATGTATGATGCAGGACAATGTTAAACATTTTTATGTGAACACTGTCCACTTGGGGAGGCTATTAAGCAATACAGTCTTTTATTATACTAAACTTGATCAAGACAGGAAGAAGGAACTAGTGTTTGTCTTCTACAGTTTGCATGTTGTTGTATTTATATGTTACGTGCTAGGGATTCCATTTGAAATGTTTGTGGATGTTAATTAAAAAGTTTTGCATGTCAAACTGGGTTGTTCCACAGTGCCAGTTCAGCCAAAATATGTACTTCAGGTCATACATAGAAGAACAACAACTTAAATAATGTGTTACATTAAAATTTAAGCACCTCATAGTGAAGTGATTCATTTATTATGAACCAAGGAAAACGTTGTCTCACTTTTTGGAAACAAGAGTGCATTCTGAATTTTGGTGTAAAAAAATAAAATAAAATAATATAATTGCAAATTAATATGTTAACCTAAGGTCAGCACTACTGCTTTGTCTCTTGCAGTGGAACTCCACAGTTAAAAACACTAAAGGACGTGTACTGCATTTCTTATACCAGTCCTATGGGAAATCTCCTTTTACCAATACTGTCTAGCACTATTGTTCGGTGTCCTCTGTCGCCTTGGAGACAAGTTTGTCACCTTTGGTCCTTGTGCTCAGGTACACCTGTTAAGGGTCTTATATTACCACAGCACCTTTGTTAATTTAGAAGAATATCCAGCATGGTGATTGGTATATATTTCCTATTGCCTGGACTTTTCTGTAAGGTCTCTTACATAATTTAGTTGCAGGAAATCTAAAACAGCACCAGGGTCCCAAAGAAAAAAAGGCCTGGCCTGAAATCAACAACAGCTGAATAAACATTTGCTCCTTCCTTTTGTGGAAAATTATGCTGTCATTACTGGAACCATAGTACAGAAATAACTTAGAAAGCTTAAACATAGCAAACCACTTTTAATATTTTTTGAGACCTTATAAGAAGTTATTGTGTGTTGCGGCTGGAGTAAAACACATTTCCTGTAATTTCCTGCGTATTCTGCTCATTAATAACTGAAGTGACAGCAGACCTTCTGTTTCAAAAAACAGACTTCGATAAGCCACCAAAAAACAACAGTGTAGCTCATCATCAATGCACCATTATGTTTTCCACACAGGGCTTTGCTATTGTTGTTTACCTGCACTGTGGTTCTCAGCAGCTGTCACTGTGGCCTAAGACTCTTTGTCTGTTGGCATAGGACTTTGGCAGGGGTTACAACAGTCCCACTGCAGTAGCTTTATAAAAATTTCATAGAGATAAAACTTTCCAGCTACCTCAGAAAGAACTCTCTATTGCATTTTCTTTAAATGCCTGTGTTTCTTATAAACAAGCACAGCACTGGAAACAAAACAGGTGAATGCTAGTTATCTTTAATGCACTATCTATGTGGGATGATTTGCTTTTAGTCAACTGTTAATTATTAGTGTCTGATTTCTATGCTTAAAAGGTTCTACTGCCATAGTCCACTGAGACATAGTAGGTGAGAAATGGACAGCTACTGTCCTCCATTTTTCAGTCTCTCACATACATTAGTAGAAAAGTTCTTTCAAAAGGTATTAATAATTTTCAGAATTGAATTTGTTTAGAGCAAAGACGAAACGCTTGTACATTCTTGCTTTTTATAGGAACAGTAAAAAAAATCATTGAATCTAGTTTGCTGTGATGTTTAAAATGTAATAACAAGCAAGAGTAATTAAAAAAAAACTTTAGTATTATCATAACCAGTTTATTCCTGTGCCATTGGCGCAGCACATAACAGACTTATTAGCCCTTCTACTGTTCACATTCTGTGCCTTCAGTGTAGGTTCAGGTCAATTTTGAAATGGGCCATGGATTCCCTTATAACATATATCTTGTTTCTTTTAAGGCTTTATCTTTCAAGGCACCCTATGTATAACCTCAGTTACTTATGTCCACCATATATGATCACTACTATACTGTTTTACTATAACACTGTTTGGAGATTCCCCCATGATTCTTCAAAAACCTGCAGGTGCCTGTCTGTGCAGGAAGCTATAGGCAAATGGTGGAAACACCACTGTACATTTAAAATCCAGTTTCAGTATAGTTTCAGTTTCAAGATTCCCTAAAATCGCACCTGTCTTTGATTTCGACCCTGGATCTAATTTCAGTAGATACGGCTAAATAGATAACGGATCAAAGCCTACAAAAATTGTACCTGTACAACAGTATAAAATGTAAAAATATTTTAATTTATGTGGACAAGGATAAGCGGAAGAGTATGGATGAATGGATTTTTTAAAATAGAAAAAGCTACTTTCTAAATGTTTATTTTACCCAAGATGCTGGTCAGTCAGCAGCACACACCCCCTTTCCTCCCATCAGCCTTTGCAGCAGCTGCTCAGCGGCGCTAGCTGCTAAGCTAGTTTAGGTAATCTGTCAGCCTGCAGCTAAATCCACGTACACTGCTGGGCTTTACACTCTTCCGGAATACTTTCCTTTCATGGGTAACGTCAGATTTTATCATTATGAGACAAGGTGCCAAGGTCATACGCAAACGGTAGTCGAGGTTTCGGGCAAAAGTGAGCGGTTAGCAGAGAAATATCAGCCACGTATTGTCTTAATGTTATCAGTCAATACTTGCTATCGCCCGTAATCACCGACATAAATGTTCAGCGGAACAAAACGACAGATGTAACAGCTGTTTATCCTAATTTATCAGTAGCTTCCTTTGCAGTCCTCATACTAACCCTTTTCCGACACTTGAATCGAGTTCACAGAGCTTCTAGTAGACGTAACCTGATGGTACATTTGACAGCTAGCGCTAGCTTTTTTTATTCGTAATTTTTAACGTTAGGCAGTAAGTATGGTAATTAAAGTTTGACAGTCTCCGTTAGAGTGGCTAAAATATTAATTATTTTTTGAAGAATCTGCTGTCGTCTGTCTGAGCTTGTGGGAAATAATTTCCGTATACAAATATTTCACTGCGCTTAAGTTTAAAGCAACCAAGTGTCTTTTGGCTAGCTGCCCGGGGATAGCAAAAGTCTTTCAAGTTAAACCTTATCACACGCGTCAACCCTCAGTCAGTATAACGAAACGTGCAATTTAGGGAGGATTTGATTTTACATGTACATACACGCATAGACTGTGATGGCTTCTCTAGAAGCTAACTCTTTATATGTCGTCATGTGAACAGCCTTAGGATCAGCTCTGCATTTCCACGTTGTCACATGAATGAGGGACTGTAGTATGCTCCGTCGGGCATCCCAATAAATAAACCCTTTCATGTGGGATGTACTCTGGCCCAGATAGTCTAAGGAAGAATCTTCTTTCTTGTTTTTCCAGTCAGTCTTAGCAAATAAAAGTGCAAGGTCATTATCCAAAGTCCTTGCGCTAATTCTAAAATAGTCCCAGCGTACAAAGGGACCGGATTATGATCGTGGATTTGCACAGAGGAAAGCAACACCCGTTACCGCTGTAAGGAAACCTGGGGCTTTCTATTTGGATGGATTTTCTCCCCCTTTGTTAGCTTTACTTGTCAGATCCAGAAAGAAATATCTTCTAACAGAGACCTCTTTACTAGTGCTTCTTTTGCTCAGTGACACCCTGTCTCTTAAAAAGTTTGGCTAAATGTCTATTTTGCAAGTTTTATTAATCTAAAATTTCCCTAACAGCTGAAGAAGACCCTCTAATGTGATTTCAACTTGGCACTTGTGATCAAGGACAGACTCGCTGTCCATGTTGCCACACTGGATATGCAGTGACTCTGCTGCTGAGAGAGGAATGACATTTGTCTCATTGTAATTCCTGGAGCTGCTTTGGGAACAGTTTGGGCTTGATTAAAAAAAGCTAACAAAAAACCTAGAAAAAAACAAAGTTGCTGTTCAGAGCCAAGTTGGTCTTTTCTTCCACAGCCTGCTCTTTTACACTTTCACTGCCTAGTGTGCAAACTGTTACGGCCCTTGGGGCCAACTGAGAAAAAGGGGACTCTAGCTGTAGTGGATTAGACTCTGCCGTGGAAAAGGGACTGGACCAAGAGAGCAGGCCCACAGCAACACGCATCATGCTGTGGGTACACTAGGTTCCCTGTCTGAACCGCTTCTGTGTGGCACTTTTTTTTTCTTTTCCTGCAATCTCATTGATTTGGATGGTTGAGCACAAGGGCCACTTTGAAGGAGACCACCGGTGGCTGTGGTTTGGCCAGAGCTGTCAGACTTCTTGCCAGCTATTACTGATTTAGTACCCTTGTCCACTGCTACTGCTGCTGTAACCTCTTCACTGTGGTCTCCAACATGGTGAGTGGAGGCTGGAAGCATCACAGGAGTGGAACTGAACCATTAATACTGGTCTAGTTGGTTATTTTCCAACCTTTTTTTTTTCTTCCTCTTTATCTTTTCTATTGTAAATGATTGCATTCCAATTTTCTGGACCTTTTCCTCTGTACTGAAAAAACCCCTAAACTTCAGTCAAGGTCATTTTTAAAAAAAAATTGAAAGCCTGGAAAGAATATCGCTTCAGAGGAGGATGAAGCTGAGGAAACAGGTGACGGTGTGTGGAGGGGCCATATTCTGTGTGGCTGTGTTCTCACTTTATCTGATGTTGGATCGAGTCCAACATGACCCTGCACGGCGACAGAGCGGCGGGAACTTTCCACGGGTAAGAGTAATGACCCTTTCTGCAGCTTTTATTATAGCACATTTGTCCTGATTTTATTTTACTGTTTTTTTTCCAGTGATATACTACAAGCCTTAAGTCATGATAAGAAACATTCCTGCCTCTAAGGCCCGACTGCTAATTAGTCTAAATATGTTTCACCCTGTTTTTTTTTTTTTAAATTTACATATAAATGGACACCTCCAATCATGCATTTGTTATAATATAGTTATTTACTGGTTGATATATTTTAAATGTCCTACACTCCTTTGTTGACGTTTCTAAATCATCTGCTTTTTACTCTTAAAGCTATAACTTGACTACACTAATAGAGCAGAAGAATGCTAGTTTGATCTCTTGTGTTAATCCATATTTTTGTGTCTGTTTTTAGAGCCAAATTTCAGTCCTGCAGAACAGGATTGAGCAGCTGGAGCAGCTCCTGGAGGAAAACCATCAAATCATCAGCCACATAAAGGATTCTGTAATGGAGCTCACAGACACAGGAGCTGTCTCTCCCAGTGGCCACCTGCCATTCAGAAGTGCCAACGGTTCCTGGGTCCTACCCTTCGATGGTCGTCCCACTTTCCTTGCTGTTAAGCCGCAGGATTGTCAGTTTGCTGTAGGCAACAGAGATCAACCAGACGTCCAGGTTGGCCAGGACTTTTGTGTTGTTGTAGCTACTGTAAAAAAACAAAAAAAACTTTAAGAATATTTTTGGGGTCTTAACAGGGAGCGCTAATTGTTTTATTTTAGATGCTGGATGTGTACTCCCTCCTCAAATTTGACAACCCTGATGGTGGTGTATGGAAGCAGGGCTTTGACATCACTTATGAACCTAATGAGTGGGATAACGAACCACTGCAAGTATTTGTGGTCCCTCATTCGCACAATGATCCAGGTGAGTTACGTAAACTTTACTGAACATAACCGAGCGCTTCTGCATCAGATTGTTTTTTGTGAGACAGTCTAAAAGACGTCTGAGCAGTTTGTTTCAATAGTTTGGTACTTTAGGACTTAACTGAGTGGGAGGCTAGTTTGTAGGGATGCAAAATTCATTCAATATTGGATTCATTTGTTCTCATTATTATTAGCATAATGCTGACATGATTGACGGCTTAGCAACAAACAATGGAATTAGGAAGATATTGCCAATGGAAAACTGGAACAATTCATAGATGGGATTGGCTGAGATTATATTTTAGACTGACATTTCCATTAAGTTTGTTTACCCGCCTGTGCCACATGCTTGATAACTTGACAGTTATTGATATGTTGACAGGCCAGAAAGACCTGGAAATTTTGTCCATCAGCAGTGGGAATAGGTTTCATTCTGAATTGCATTATTTAAAACTTTGCTGAAAAGTTATAAACATGTGTTGTATCCAGCTAGACTGGTGATTTAGTTACAGAAATAATCTCAGCTCTTATTGAAGAGACATGAAAGCAGATCTTATCTGAATTCTCTTAAAGCAGAAAACTGATATTAAGAGTTTAAAATGGGGTTTGCGAAGGTTTTGATGACTGAATGCCAATTTAGAGAGTGAGTAAAAGGCACATATCAAACACTTGAAGCTGTTTAAGCTTCACAAATGAACTTTGAACAGTTTTGTAAGAGTCAGATTGGGATTTTTTTCTACAATTATCCTTTTTCACATGGAACACACAGCAAGGAGTAGACTTCAAACACATTTGCACAACGGGGAATATTGTGCTTCACTTGGTGAGGGAGCTTCCTGTAGCGAGAATGCAGGAGGCAGCGCATGATTTTCTTGGAAGTTGTCATTTTGTGCTAGGTTAAAGCTTTTTTAAAATTATTATGGAGGTGTTCTTTTTGAAACCAGGAATATATAAAAAGAAGGTTTAGTCTGCTATGATGACTAGGATGGAAAAGTTGAGTTTGAAGGGAGTCACGGTATGAAATGAGCTGTGGATCAATTAAATTAAAAGTAGTGGAGAAAGTAGGAAGGAAGGCAGTGCACTCTTTCGCTGCGCTCAAGGTGAACCAGCGGATGGGGTCCTGCACTTTGGAGAATCCAGAGTTTAAAGTAACAATGTGAAAGAAACGGTGTTCGTTTGCTTTCCACAACACTAAATGTGTTTATTTGTCAACACTTTGTCTATTGCTTATTTATGGAAATTAGTGTATACTGAATAGAATAGTACCTAATTTGCAAAATGACATTTCAGAAAAATTGTAATACAACAAAATAACTGCCCTAATGTCAGTAGATAAATGGAGAATTTTCATAGTGATATCTGCTATTTGAAATACTAGTTCCTAGTAAAAATGTATGAAATTTTACAATGCGTAGCTTTAAAGGTCATTGTTTTGGTCATACTCCACTCACACACTCCACATATGCCAGACTTTACAGTTTTATTCCTCTCCATATTTTAAAGGTTCATATGTCATCCAGGGTCTATGTTAGCGAGCATTTCCTCTCTAAAATGATATGTTCGTGTCGAAAAGTGACAGTACTTTTTCCCCAATACTTTCTGATTTATGAGCTTCATTTCAGATCACCTCTTTAAAAGGCTTTTAAGTTGTAATATGTGATCAAAATTATTACACAGATGTGTATTGAATCAGTACTGAAGTATTGAAGCTGACTGTTTCCAATATTTACATTTCTCTTCTGTATGCAAATTGGCACGTAGCTTGATAGGTAATGTCTCATTCGCATAGTTAGACATAGAAATTTCAGAAAACCTTTCATGCAAAAAAACGATTGTCTTAATGTAAGCAGTCAACTAGGGAAGTTTCTGTTCACCTCTAATGCATTTCTTCTGATTCTGCATATTTCCCACATGATGTGGAACTTTAGTCGCTATAAAATGTATTAGATTACAACATGCAAAAGAGATATCCTAGAGGAGCTTTGTGGGCTGCAGTATACTATTGCACATTTAAAATGCAAAGAGAGTGCTTTTTAGTCACTTTTCTTAGAAACCAGTTTACTAAAAGGGTTGTAGAGGCGAACAGCTCTAGTTGAATAAAACATAAGTTTTATTTTTGATCTGTGACAATCCAGCACTGAGTCTCTTTGCGTGCGCTTTCTTCACGGCTTTGTATTAGCTCTGTTTGGATAAGCATTGGTAGGAGTGAATTATTTCACAGTGTAATTTGTATGAATGTTTGCCAGTGGCTGTGCAGATTGCCCAGATTTGTCCTCTTGTGTTGTTAGGTTGGGTCAAGACTTTTGACAAGTATTTCACAGACCAGACGCAACATATTTTAAACAACATGGTGGTGAAGCTGGCTGAGGATCCTCGCAGGAAGTTCATCTGGTCTGAGATTTCATTCTTCTCCAAGTGGTGGGAGACTGCAGATGTACACAAACAGGAGGCAATGCGCAAGTTAGTCATAGCTTTGTGAAGCACACAGCTTTGTTTTTGAGTAAAAATAAAAGGCAGAGAATTCAGTGAGATTTCTTTGATGTAGACTGGCCCTAAGTACAATATGTTAGACTGTGAAATCTTAAAAATAGCTCATTATCTCCTTAATGTGACTCTCCTTCTTTAGGGCTGGATTATCCTCACCTTGCTGTCTTAATCCTTTCTTTTTAACAGACTGATCCTCGGAGGACAGCTAGAGATTGTGACAGGAGGCTGGGTGATGACGGATGAAGCCAATGCCCATTACTTTGCCATGATAGACCAGCTCATTGAAGGGCATCAGTGGCTGGAGAGTAATCTAGGTAAACAATCCTTCAAGACATTTTATTATTATTCAGCGGATATCATTTATATTCAGAGTAATGTTTATGTAAAGTTCAAAAAGTTTCATACTGTCTCTGAAATTTAAGGGCTTTTGCCTTCATTCTAGTAAAAATGTAAAATTCTATAACTCCTCACACTGCTTAGTATTGAAATCCTAGCTCATCATCCTACATGCAGCAGATGTAGCCTCTAACTCAGTGGGTGCTCAGATGCTTTGTGCTACTTTCACTGCATCCCACTGAGAAGAGTGATTTCCCATAAGATGTATTCCTCTTTTATCCAAGCATAAACCTGAAATACTTTGCTTCCTGCTTGCTGTCATAGGTATAACTCCTTGCAGCGGGTGGGCTGTAGACCCGTTTGGTCACAGTGCTACTATGCCCTATCTACTGAAGAGGGCCAACCTGACCAGCATGCTCATCCAGAGGATCCACTACTCCATTAAAAAACATTTTGCCTCCACCCGAAATCTGGAGTTTATGTGGAGGCAGGCATGGGGTGAGTGGACCATAACAGCTGATGTCATCTGATTCATGTGCTTGTCTTTGTTAAGCTCATTGCCGAATGAGTCATGGCACTCGTTATGGCATTTGAAAGAGGAATTTTTGGAAGGACAACCAGTGGAAAATGGCCTCAGAAGAGCTGCCGTCATTATTTTTTCTGATTAAACTGGATGTCTGCCAAAGATTATTGTTCATTAGATTTTAATTTGAAAAATTTGATATGCCAGATAATATCAATATGTTACTGTCACTATTTAGGGAGATTTGCTCTGTAATTAAATATTGTCCAGTGTTTAACCAGTGCTAGGTTTTGAAAATTAAACTGATAGCAGTTCTAGAAGCACTGATATGTGTGTGATCATCTTTGCGCAGAGCAAAATGTGTTCTTTCTGTCAGTATTTCTCATGCTAGTGCTTTGTTGTCCTTACTTTGCCACCCTAACAGACATGGGGTCAAACACAGACATCTTTTGCCACATGATGCCCTTTTATAGCTATGATGTACCTCACACCTGTGGACCTGATCCAAAGATCTGCTGCCAGTTTGACTTCAAGAGGCTACCAGGCGGAAGGATAAATTGTCCCTGGAAAGTGCCACCAAAAACTATTGTGGAAGCCAACGTAGCAGAGAGGTAAGTCTTCACTTTGTGGATGCTCACCGTGGAGCAAAAGATTTCATGCTTAATTTTTTTCTGGGTTAGATCTGTAGATCAGACAAGTGATGTATTAGCAGAATAATCAATAATGAACATGCTGTTATTTAATGGCTCAGTATACAAATGGACAGAGATTTGCAGAATATATGAGTGAGTCATGACCATATATGGGCTGTAACACGTTACTGTAATCCGGTTACTTTTTCAAGTAATGAGTAAAGGGATTACTGTTGCAAAAAAGTAATTGGATTACTTTTACTTTCCCATAAGCATGCTGCATTACTGCATTACTAAACTGTGATTTTTTTTTTTTTTTTTTTTGGTCGTCTGTGAGAGTGTCTCACGACTATGACGTTCGAGCATGCGACGTCCGTGGCAGAAACAGTACTGACATTACTTTAAGTTTGATAAATGTTAAAACAAATCTCTTCAAGTCAAACACTGTTGCATATCATTTAAATTTTGCTTGATGCAATGTGCATGAAGTTAAAAGATTAAAACTGATAAAACAATTTTCGAAAAGAGACTTTTTGATTTGATTTAATTTTATATGATGGATTATGTCGAATAAAATAGAACTGGGCTGAAAGGTCCATTGCTTTATTACATATTTAGTAGGGGTGCAACGATATTCATATCGATATTGAACCGTTCGATACAGTGCTTTCGGTTCGGTACGCATATGTATCGAACAATACAACATTTGTAATTTATTTTATCAATTTTCCTTCTGACTATGCTGTCTGTGTTGAGCGCTCAGTGAATCTGTGTTCGACTACTCCGCCTAGGCTGCACTGTCGAGCGCAGATCCACTGAGCGCTCAACACAGACAGCATAGTCAGAAGGAAGAGCGCAGGGCAAGCTAGCGAGACAGAAGTTAAGCTCTCCTTGCAACATGGCAAATTGAACCTCATTCAGATCTGGCGTTTGGAATTATTTTGGTTTTCATGTGACGTATGACCCTGAAGGTAAGCGAGTCATGGACTAAAGTAAAACAGTATGTTGAATGTGCCATGCAATGCTCAATTACATTGGTGTGAACTAGTGTGTTAGCGCAGTTAGCTCGTTAACGTGTTGGCCGTCTAGCCCCATGCACGGAGTGATCGGCGGTAGCTCGTTAACGGAGATTTGCCGTGTTGTGGCGTTAAGGTAATTTCAACGAGATTAACCTGAAAGCACTAGCGGGAACACAACGAATATGACTGCACATTTACGCCGACATCATCGTAGTGCAAAGACAAGTGGAAGCAGACAAAAAAAAGCAAGCATGCTACTAACTTTAGCCGAGTCATTTAGACAGCTGTTAGCACATGATTCTCCTTATGCTGCTGAGAATATAGCCCAGAAGAAGCGGATAGTATAGCTTTTATTTTGGAAAGAGCCATTTCTCTGTAATAAACTCTCTTTTCCAAAGATGAGTGATTCCTCAATCAGATACAGGGCTCGCAATATCGCTAGCCCGATGTCCCGGAGCTAGCGATTTTTTCAGTCGGGCTACCAAAATCTATCTCTTCCCTGCCCGTCGGGCTATTGTAGGAAAAATATATGTCAATGCTTTTGCATTCTTTCGGAAATGTAGCTGGGTAATTATGTCATTGGCATCGGTGAGCCACTGTCAATATGTGACATATTGAAGTCGCGTTTGAATTTGCGCTTGTTTTTTTGCTTTCACTTTGCAATCGTGCGAACTGTGTATAGAGAGCGACAGCACTGATCTGTGAGTGATGATAATTTGTGCACCAATTCCTCTGACATCGTCTTATTAATCGTTAGCTTACTATGCAAACATGACAAGTGAAATCTCCCGCAGCAAGCTTAAACATGTGAGAGGTTGATCGTGTAGAGAATCGCTGAGCTTATGTGAGTGAGTGTGTAAAAGCATTTCAGTTCTGCTGAGCCAAATAAGACAGGTCAGGGTGAAGAAGTGACAGCCAAAGAAAAGCTTACCACAAAACGGAGAAGTTATGACAAATCAGACTATGAGGCAAAAAGAAAGTGCAGCTTTATGGTTTCATGGACAAAAGAATTTCTGTGGCTGCAATATGATGAGCTAAATAACCAGGGCTGCACATAAGTGGTCCGCAGGTGCGCATTCGCTGTCAAAATAAAAAACACGCACAAGGGTTAGGGTTAAATTCAAAAACTGTACTTTTGAGTTAAAATATATATTTATAATTTTAATAAATGACAAATTAAAAATGCATGAACATTTTTTTGTATCGAAAAAATATTGAACCGTGACACCAAAGTATCGAACCGAACCGAACCGTGAATTTTGTATCGTTGCACCCCTAATATTTAGGTTGTGTATCATGTTTTTAAAAAGTAGATAAATAATGAGTAACTAATTAGAAGTAATCAGTAATTAGTAACTAATTATTACTTTCAAGTAACTTGACCAACTCTGTTCATGACAGCTGTAAATTACAGCTCTAACATACTCTGCTCAGTATATTGTTCTGACCTTTACATAAAAAAAATTGGAGTAGACTAAAATGCTTGTTTTTTGCATAACATGCAAAAAACAAGCATTTTTGTTTAGAGTATAATATGTAACTTTTGACATTGTGCTGCTTTTCAGCCCAGCAACACACAGCCCAGGTTGTTTCGCTGTTGTTGCAACTCTATTTTCTTTAATGGTCCCTTTAAAAATAAACTCAGCTTGAAGTTGTGCCAGTAACAATAGTCAGAGAGGTTGGATGAACAGAGGGAACCAGACATGGGGCCAGATTTACTAAGCTGTACAAAAAGCTCAGAGTACAGTGAAAAGTTTTAAATAAACTTTAAAAACGAGTAATTTCAGTAATGAGCAAAACAGTCCATGTGATGCGGCACGGAACAAAAAACAGGCTAAAGTCCAGTTTAAAAAAATGTTTAAAATGTAAAACCTGTAGATTAACATGTTAAAACAGATTTAATTCATTTTAGTTATTGTGGTTTAGTAAAGATAGAAATGGATAAATATTCATTTGTAGCACATTTGTAAACGATTGAAACTGGGTTTACAACTCATTCAATCACAATCCACACAGCATCATCACAACAGGTTAAAGATAGATATCCAATGGGGCAGATTTCACTGGCTGACTGGCCCTGGTCACAGCTGGGATCCTCAATCTGCGTCTTTGGCTGGCGTTTATCGTGCTGCGTCACATATGTTTCTCTCAGGGAACAGCTGGACAGTTCAGACCAAGGAATGACAGTGGAATGAGAGTTCATATGTTATGACACATTAGAGCAAAATCTTAGGTCAGAAATTGGTTGGACCAGGTGTGGCCTTGGAAGTGCTGATAGCTGTTTGCTGGATAAATCCTGATAGGTCAGAAAACAGTCATCCAAAGATTAATAAAAAAAAAAACAACAACCCCAAAACATTTTTTGTAACACACACTGTATTAACTATATAAATCTAAAAACTGACCACCCGAATGTATAGAGGAACATACCATTATTGACTGCCTGAACCCGACTAACTAGGCATAAATGAAATGACTGCAGCTTTGCCATCTCAGTTAAAAGAAGCACTTATTCATTTATTGATTAAAGTTAAAGGAGAGAACGTGACAGACAGACAGCTCTTACATTAACTACTAGTGCAATTAGAAATAATCATCCTGCCTGAGTTATTTAAATAAGTTCCTCTTCAAATTTTTCAGCCTGACAGGAACAAAAAATCAATATGCAATAAGGCAAGGAGTAAAAATGATTGTCCATGCTGTGTCTGTTGCTCCTTTGGCTCTCAACCTTTAGCAAATCTGGGACATGGAGTACTGATGCTCTTGCAGTAACATTAAGCAGCCTTTCAAGGACCTAAAGATTTTTTTCAGAGAGGTGTTTCTGTGGAGAATACCTCCAGGGGTAATTTGATCATCGTTCCACTTTCCTCTTTCCAAGGTCATAGTGATTTCCTAGAAAAGTGTCTTATGCAAAGCATAGAAGCTTGGATGCCAAGAAATATGTCCTAAGTGTCCCCTCTTCCTTTTTTTCCTCAATCAGGGCACAGCTGCTCCTGGATCAGTACCGTAAAAAATCGAAACTCTACCGCAGTAAGGTGCTCCTTGTTCCTCTGGGGGATGACTTCCGCTATGATAAAGCCCTTGAGTGGGATCAGCAGTATATCAACTACCAGAAGCTGTTTGACTACATGAATTCTCACCCTGAGATGCATGTACAAGTGAGAAATTTATTTGTCAACTGTCACAAATCTTATAGCGAAATATTTTTTCCCTTCCCTCCTGTATTTCATCTTATTCTTCCATCTCAGTGTGTAGTGTACCAAGTAGTTCAGCATTCAACCTTTCTCATGGTAATGAATCATGCAGTGGTATTTTAACTTGCTGACAGAACAAAGAATCTGTCACGACTTGATGTCTGGTGCAGAAGATGTCATGTAAGATGAAAGGCACATGCCTAATGTTGAAAGGCTTTTTATTTCTTGTGTTCAGATGTGTTTGAAAGCGCCCATTTTTTTTTTTTTTTTTTTTTTTTTTTTTTTTTTAAATTACATGTCAATTGGCTCCTCAGGCACAATTTGGGACTCTCACAGACTACTTCAACGCCGTATACAAAACAAACGGCGTGGCCCAGGGATCCAGGCCGGCAGGCTACCCGGTGCTCAGTGGAGATTTCTTTGCCTACGCAGACCGTGAAGACCACTACTGGACTGGTTATTTTACCTCCCGACCCTTTTACAAGAGTATGGACCGCGTCATAGAGTCCCATCTCAGGTAAGGCAGATTTAATCACTAATATTGCTGACTTCAGATTTGGGGATGTGTTGGTTATCCTCTACTGGTTATTTGGACAAATTTTGGAAAGGACTATTTTGCACTGCAAAATAATTAAGGTGTGGACTCCAGTGTAAAGGGACCTACCTGTGTCTTTAACTTCTGCTATACAAATTAACCTGCAGAACAAAATGCAGCATCAAATGTTTTTGACCAAGTTCTGTATCGAGAATGTCAGTTGACACTTGCTCACAGTCAAAAAAAATGAAAAAAATATTGGTCCTTTTGCTCTCTAACCAATCACTGTGCCTATTCACTAAACCATCAAAAACTTAAAGTCCAACTGGAAATTTTTGTGATGAATCAGTAGAGATCTTATAGTTTGGCCACTGCTGTAGTCAGATAATGTGAACGCACCTTTAGCTGACTAAAGGTACTTTAAAGGTGTCCCTCGTGATAACTATATGTCACTGTCCTTCAGGGGGGCAGAGATCCTCTACAGCCTGGCAGTTGCAAATGCTAGGCATGCGGGCATGGCAGGGCGTTACCCGGTTTCGGATTATTCCCTGCTAGTGGATGCCAGGCGCTCCGTTGGCCTCTTCCAGCATCACGACGCCATAACTGGCACAGCAAAAGAAAATGTTGTCATCGACTACGGCACCAAGTAAGAAACGAAGGGAGTTAGGACGATTACCATCTCGCTTTTAATCTTAAGTCTCTTGTGACTGGCCTGTTCGATACAAATGTGTTGCAAATAAGAAGGTGTCTCCTTGAAGTGCAGCACTTTAATTCTTTCTCATCCTACCTAGATTACTGCGGTCACTTATTGGTCTGAAGAGAGTGATCATTAATGCTGCTCATTTCCTGGTGATGAAGAACAAAGAGTTTTATCGCTTTTACCAGACGGAGCCTTTTCTGGAGACGGTAAATGCAAACTTCACGTACAAAAAACAAACGGACCTGTATATTTGTGTGTTCTTGAATATTCACTGTGCTTTCTGTGTTATATTTTCCTTCTATAGGATGACAGGCGTGCTACTCAAGACTCTATGCCTCAGCGCACTTTAATCGAGCTGGACCCTGCAGGACCAAGGTATTATCTGCATCATCTTGCATCTTTCATCCCCCCCGCCTTCTCTTTCACCTACTCCTACACCATCCTGTGCTCATAATTGCTTTTTCCTTTTTTTTCCCTTTTTTTCCCCCTCCCCATCAGGTACCTGGTTATGTTCAACCCAGTTGAGCGAGAGAGGCTATGCGCGGTGACCGTGTTGGTTAACACAGTCAGGGTTCGGGTGCTTACTGAGGATGGACAGACGCTTCCCGTACAGCTGAGTGCTCAGTGGAGCTCTGCGAGTCAGATGAGTGCAGAGGTGTTTGAGGTAAGGCACTGACTTCATTTGGATGCTGGTTTCTGCATAGCGATATCAGAATCAGAATCGTGTTTATTGGCCAAGTATATGTGCAGACGCATACAGGGAATTTGGTTCCGGTGGATGGTGGCTCTCAAGCACAGCAATGTAAATCACACACACACACACACCACACACACACACACCACACACACACACACACACACACACACACACACACACACACACACACACGTGTCTATATATACACATTACACATACATACACAAAGCTGTGTAAACCAACTATAAATAACGAATCTAACTTATATACATAAAATACAGAAATGAATGAGGTGGAATGAATACTACAAAATGTACATGAGGTGCAGCTGCAGTCTGGCAGTGGGAGCAGTGTGACAGGTCAACTGTTAAGAAGGGAGATGGCAAGGGGAAAGAAACTGTTCCTGTGTCGGGTGGTCCTGGTCTGCAGGCTTCTGTACCGTCTGCCGTATATTGGCATATCAGTAGCACAGTAGTACACAGAGACTCTCTAGAACCACAGAACAGACTCACAACACAATACGAAGTCATTATGCTCAACTGAAAAGAGAATAGCTATAAAGACATTGAAAAGCTGCCAAGTTAGATCGGATTACTATCTGATAACATACAGGAGGTGGACATTTGTGCATTTAAAGTGGGAATATTTTGCTTTTATGTGAGTATAAGTCTTATACAATAGATTTTACAGTGTTAGACAAGTTTAATTCTCTGTGTGTGTTTACTGTAACTTGGCCAGCGGATGAAACTCCACGAGATAATAACTGCATACATGAGTAAAAACAAAAGGCAAATTTTAAATGCCACGTTTTTGCACATGCCGTCGTCTTTGTGACAAAATGCTGAGTCATAGAGTTGGGGCAGCTGTAGCTCATTTGGTAGACTCGTGAGGTTGGTGGTTTGTGCAGCTTTGCTCACTGTGTTTGTGTCTTGAAGAAGAAATTAAGTTGCTTTAGAGTAGAGCTGGGCGATATGAGATTTTTTCATATCACGATATGTTTTTTTCCATTTCAGGCGATAACGATATCTATCACGATATAAGCCAAATAACTATATTTGTAAGATTTAAATGTGCCGTTGCTCACAAGTAAAATGTGAAATTATCAGCAGCTTGTTTTTAAATATTTATTTCCCATAATAAGTTCAACAGGGTAGATGTACTTAAGGAACATGAGACTTTTTCAGATAAATAAAGGCAAATATTGCAAACTACACAAAAGGCAGCCGCTAAAGCGTTTAAGTTTCAAAATAGAACAAATGAAACAGACTAAATTGTCAATTCCACTTAGAAATAAAGTATTAATTCTAAAAATAAATCTTAGTTTGTTTTACAGAAGAACAGACAAAACTGACTAACTTTTGTCAGTATCAAATAAACTGAGAACTAAAAGGAAATTCTCAATCTCTCCTTGTTGTATAGCTGAGCTTTTCAAACAGTTTTAACAGTTACTTTAGTCTGACAAAAGCCGAATGACGAATTAGCGCTTCCAGTCAGAGACTGAGGCTACGTCCACACGTACACGGGTATTTTTGAAAACGGAGATTTTCCGTTCTCGTTTTAAAAAATAATCCCGTCCACACATAAAGGCAGAAATGAAGGAAAACGCTGCTATGAACATGCCAAAGCAGGAGGTGGCGCTAGATTCCTAACCGTGCAGAAATGTTGGCCAATCAGAAGTCTAGAAGCCTCGGTGGGAAAAAGTAAACAAAGCTGGGGCATAGAAGCAGAACAGAGTCGTATGTGTGGAGGGACAGTAACTGTGTGTATATGTAAGCATTTAAACACTGCAGAGAGTAGAATTAACAGTATTGTAGAAATTCATTTCACCGAAACAATAACGTGGTGCACAGTGTGACGCATGCACCAGTTTATTGTATTTCCAGACTTGCTTTCGGCACAATTTACAGTGCACGCTACTCTGTTTTTTGTCAGACTTGAAATAGCCGAAATACCTTCACACTACGGAACTTCTATGGCTCTTCCGTTCGACAATCTCTCCGGCATTGGAACCATCATCTGTTTTCACTTCGGTCACGCTCGGTTGATTTTTCTAGTCGGCACACTCATTTCCTCCATTACGTGCTGGCTCCATTACCCGCTGGCTGCTTCCCAAACAAACACACGTGCGGCTTGGCACTTGTGCTGTACGTAACAAGTCACGCGACGTGACGCTGCGGCTATGATTGGTTCGGCTCTGCGCTACTGAATTTGGATTGGCTGACCTTTTTTTTTTTTTTTTTTTTTTTTTAAGACGACAAGAGCGGCGAGGTCTATCGCGATAGCTTAATTTCTCTATCGAGTAAAAGTTATATCGCGATACATATCGTTATCGTTCTATCGCCCAGCTCTACTTTAGAGAAAAGCCAAGAGGATGTACTGTATGTAAAGTATATGATGTGTGTTTTAAAAGCACTTAGTCTTCTAAATAAAAGTTTTACTTCTTTTTCTCTATTTACCTGCAAGTTGTTACTAGGACAGATGTTCTTTTTCAGCTATTGAAAATTACATAAAAAATAAACTGCCTCAATCTATTAAATCTTAAGGTAATTGAATTTTAAATGGTTTTTTTTTCCCAAAAAATGCTTTCCACCAACAGAGGCTAATGAATTTTCATTTTAAGCACAGTCTCTCATAAGATTTTAATTATAGCACTGTTGCTGATATGTAAATGCTTTTAAGTTTTAATGAATGCCTTGTGGTCAACGTTTGCATTCCTGTGTAACACGAAGAACGAAGCCAGCATTTTAAAACACAAGCTGTTTGTGTTTTATTTTTGTTCAAAATTAAAACCTTTCTCAATCCCTGATCCAGGCGACATTCATGGTTCGTCTCCCGCCTCTCGCTCTGGCTGTTTTCCATCTGTATGACTCTCCGGACTCACCCATGACACTACGTTCGGACACTCTACTCAGGCTATCTGGTCGGGGTGTTGCCGCCCGAGCTGTGGACCCGCTTCCTGTCCGCTCTCAGCAAGCCGACTCTCAGACCTTCTACATCAGCAGTCAGTCTCTAACGCTAGGCTTCTCTGGAACCACCGGCCTGCTGGAGGTTTGTATTTCCTCTCCTCTTACTTCTGTTTGACTTTGTATCTGTTAAAGTTTCACTGATCTGTTTCATCTTTGATCTGGTGGAGGAAAAGGCCGTGAGTTTGATTTGTAAACAAATCCTTCCCGTTTGATCAAAGTGAACATGCTATGTCTTGTTGTTGCGGAGAGAAGCTTTAATCTCTTCTCTAATTGTTTTTTCCCTTTCTGCTCACTCTCTGTTTTCATCTGCAGAGTATCAAACGCAAGGATGATCCTCAGGAAGTGAAGGTTCAGATGCAGTTCATGGTGTACGGCACTCGTCCTTCTAAAGACAAGAGTGGCGCTTACCTCTTTCTGCCAGATGGAAAAGCAAAGGTATTTACTTGACTCTGTCACACGTTTACTTGTCTCTCTAAAGCCTTTGATCGAGACTCCCCTGTGTATACTGTCACAGTGTCGTCCCAGGGAGCTCGGGGCAGGAATTCAGGCAGACTGGGTACTGCTTCATTTTTGCTTGATTTAAAGACAGTAAGAGCTTAGTTGCTGTACTGTATCTGCAACCCCAATTCCAAAACAGAATACAACGATTTGCAAATCTCATAAACCTATAATTTATTCACAATAGTACATAATATATATATATTTTAGATGTTTAAAGTGAGACATTTTACTCTTTCGTAAGAGATATTGGCCTATTTTAAATTAAATAGACCAACTACAGGATTCAAAACAGTTGGGCCATGTTTACTGTTGTGTAGCCTCCCCTGTATAAATGTCTGGGAACCAGAGATGACCAGTTTCTGCACATTTGGGAGATAAATGTTGTCCCACTCTAGCTTCTCAACAGTTCTGGGTCTTCTTTATGTTATTTTTTTATTTCATGATGGACCAAAACTTTTCAGCTGGTGAAAGGCTTGGATTTTCAGGTGTGGAGATATGGACATGGCTTTTATTTTCATTGCACAAAATGACAATGATGAGTGCAAACTGCCTCTAGGGCAAAAACAACTGCATAATTCTAACACAACTCCATGTCTTTGCAAACATCTGCAGAGACAACATGCTAACACAAAGCTAGACAAGAGCACAGAGTGATGTTTAAGTTGAGTGAATGCTGACCCCAGCCCACCCCAGCAGAGTGTTAGGGTTAGAGGTTAGGGCAGTCAGGTGGTTGCCTCCGTTCCTGTATGCTCATGTTTCTGCAGCACAAACACTGTGGCGATCACTTTGAAGCCTCTTTGTGTTGGTTTTTGACTTTACTTTGTGTTGTCAGCTTTGACTTCGTATGTAAAAACTAAAAGAAAAATCTTAAGTGTGTCCTCATCAGGATTAGGGACTGGTGTGTGTGTACGTGCAACTGTGGTCTGTAGATTTATGCTGTTAACTGGCAACCGTGACAATGCATCCAAGGTAATATTATGGAATAACGAGAAAGTAATTTAACAAGTAGTGTAACAAATACCTTCTCTGTCAAGGAATCAAGTAAAGAATGTGATACATTGTTTGAGCAACAACCCAACACTGTGCATGATAAAACTTGAACCTGTATTTGTGGATGGCACAGTGTTCAGAGAGAGCGATTTCTGGAAGTGTTTCTGAGCTCATACTGAGTGACTGAATCGTGCCTGTTTTTAATGCACTGCTGCCTGAGAGCCTGAAGATCACACAAATCCAGTATTGGTTGTTGGCTTTGTCGCTTGCACACAGAGATTTCTCTATATTCTCTGAGTCTTTTGATGATATTATTTACTATAGATGAGGAAAAGTTCAAAATCTGCAGTATTACATTGAGGAACATTTTGAAATCGCACTGTTTCGCCTTCCTTTTACTCTTTCAGCCTTACCACCAGAAAGAGCCACCTGTGGTGCGAGTTGTTGAGGGGCCTCTTTTCTCTGAGGTGGTGGCACACTACCAGCACTTTCAACAAACCATCCGCATCTACAATGTGCCAGGTAGTAACTACTCAAAACTGCTTGGTGGATTGAGCTCAAATTGGCTTTGCCCAGGCTTTTTATGTTTAAAGACACCAGATGGTAGAATACAACAACAGCCAATATGTTTAACAAAATGACAATTTAGAATTTAATGAGATTTTTTTTTTTTTTTGGAGTCTGTTGACTTTCTTTTTTTTAAGCGTGAGGAAGTCTCGTTTTTAGTGAACATTTCCATCTTCCTCTGACTTGTTTCGCATTTTCAGGGGTGGATGGTTTATCAATAGACATCACCACCATGGTGGACATTAGAGATCAGACCAATAAGGAGCTGGCCATGCGACTGGTCACTGACATCCAGAGTGGAGAGGTCTTCTACACAGACCTCAATGGCTTCCAGGTCAGTAGCATCATGAGTAAAGGAGAAATAACAACTTGTATTCAGATTTATTTGAAATGTTGCGTCTGTTTTCTATTAGATGCAGCCTCGCCAACACTACCTGAAGCTGCCCTTGCAAGCCAACTTCTATCCCATGCCCAGCCAGGCGTACATCCAGGATGGCAACTACCGCCTCACGCTGCACACGGCTCAGGCTCTGGGTGTCAGCAGCCTGGAGAGTGGTTTGTATCCTGTTACATTTTATTCAATAATGTGCCATTTTTCTTCATTTAATCTTTTAATGGAAGTTATCTTTGAAACGTGTGGTATTTTTCTTTGTTTACTGTGCATTAGGACTCAAGCACTTAGCTCTCCCTCTTCTCCCTTAAGAGGTTCTCAGAGAGTGAAACCGTTTAAATCCGCACGTTTGTGTGCTGAGCTAATCCTTTTATCATCATTAGTAATGTTTCTAAATGACAGATAGCTCAAAGTGTTTGCATCTATTGACTCAAGTCTGAAAGTTCAATACCTGAGCTCAAGCTGTTGTCTCTGGTCCGCTCTCCCTTCAGGCCAGCTCGAAGTGATTATGGACCGACGACTGATGCAGGATGATAATCGTGGGCTGGGTCAGGGCTTGAAAGACAACAAGAAGACGGCCAATCGTTTCCGGCTGCTGCTGGAGAGGAGATCAGCCAGTAACAAGGTCTGTAAGATGACAGCAGCGGTGGTCTTTCCAGCACACCATAGCTGGCTCAAGGAATTGAAAGACTGTGCAAGGTTGTCGGGTGCAGTGTGTGATTTGTTAACACCTTTCCTCATATTGTTTTCCAGTACTCATTGCCAGCCCATCTGTCTTTTTGCTATCCTCTCCACTCTCTAATTTTGTTTCCCTTCTCTTCTTCTTTTCCCCCCCCTCACTCCACTACCTTCAGCACGATGGCTTCTTTGCCAAACTCTCGTCCTTGTTACGTTCTTTTCTCTCTCCATTACTGAGTGACCGAGTTCAAGAGGTAAAGCTGTATCTTTAGTTATGGCTCATAGCTCCAGTTTTTTCCCCTTCCTTCCACCTCACAGTTGTAGCCAAACCAGTTCATCTTTATGACAGCCCGACTGAAAGAAACAAATGATATCATTTATCAAGTAAATGAATGCACATTGGCAGAGAATGGAAGGCATCGGTTGCAGTTTTATCATCGGGCTCTCCATCTAACCTGTCGATCATACGGGGGCGAAGTGTTGCCAGAGACGATGCATGTGATTTAAATGTTCACATCATAAAGTTGTGATTAGCACCGTGTCTGTCTGGACTAGAATTAGAAATACGCCTCCTGCTCGGACAGAGTAATTAGAGCCCGTCCCTCATGTAGTGGCACTAGAGCATCTCTAGAGGTGACTCAAGATGCTGTAATAGTTCTGCAGTCATTTATCACAACTGTTTTAAAATCTGACTTTGCCCTCCTGCAGATGACTGACAGTGCAACAACCAGCTTCCCATCTGTACTCAGTCACATGACCAATGCCATGCTGAACCATGAGGTGTTGGCCTTACCCATTCTGCCCAAAAGACGTGGCATCCCTCCTCTACAAACCTTTGCTCCCCTCAAGTCCATCCTCCCCTGCGACCTCCACCTGGTGAACCTCCGCAGCATCCAGAGCCAGGTATAAAGACACATTTAAAAAACAAACAAACACGATTTTCACAAAGTGGAAACTTTATTTTAGACATTTCATACTTTGATTCGTTTTTCGTGTGTTTGCATATGAGCAGCAGGACCCCCTGTCTCCCTCTCCATACACCGCTTTGATTCTTCACCGTCTCGCGCTGGACTGCAACTTCGAAGCTCAGAACCTCGGATTCAACTGCACCACCACTCAGGGACAGGTCAGGGTTGAAACTCACACGCAGGATAAAACTACTCTACATTTTCGCATGATAAGAGGTTTATTTTGTAGCATATTTAAGTTCAGCTGCATTGTTATTTCTGTCATATGTAACTTTTTTTTATCCTGCCTAATGACATTTAAAAAGAAGTAATTTTGACTCGACTGCCAAAGCATCTGTTGATTAAAGTAGTCCTTGCGACAGAATCCACGCTGATTGTGAGTACACTGACAATGATCAAATAATTTTTTTTATTGGCAGCACTTTTTACTGCTGATAATTACGTAGTCAATTTTGTTGATGAGCCTCCTGTAGATGTGGATTTTTCAGTTCATCTTGTGCTGTGTTGCTTTTGCTTAAAAGAAGTCTCTTGTTGTCTGTATTTTTCTCTGAAGCTCTCCTCCTTTTTCTCCCTGTCCAGCTGAGCGTGTCGGCTCTGTTCAAGAACCTGGACCTACAGCTGCTTCAGCCCATGTCACTAACTCTGATGCACTCCGGCACGCCTCTGGCCAACAACACCACCATCACCCTCGATCCCATGGAGATCTCTGCCTTCAAGCTCAAGCTGCGATAAGAACGGTGCCGATCAAAAGAAACCCTCTAAGACTCCTCGGACCAACAACCACCTCCCACGCCGAGCATGGGCTGGCAACGGAGGGGTCTGGGACTCTGTTTTTTTTTTTTGTTTGTTTTAAAGTAGAACCACAAACGCTACAAGAGAGATAGGGTCCACTGTAACAGGACTGACTGCACAGCAGGGGGCAGGCGATAGCCGTTACTGCAGATGGCTCAAAGAGCAGCTGAACCCGGGTGAACTTTTAGCTGTTCCAAAATGACAAAGACGGCCAGAATCACTCATCAGATTCAGCCGGGTGTCTGTTCAGTGTCGGTGGTCGAAAAATTAAGGGTTCTCCTTTGCAAGGAGTTTCTTTTTCTATCTCTGCTTCATCCTGCACTGAACTACTGAATGTAAATATTCAAAATGACAACAAAAAAAAGAGCCCGGGACGCGTGTCACATCAGAGTGCAATTTGCAAAGCTTTATTTAGAAAATGGGCTCTTAATTTTGTTTTTTCCCCACAAATGCAGCAAAGATGAAACAGATCAGTGTTTTGATTTTGAACTGTTATAAGGTTGACTGACTTTTTTTTTTTTCCCCTCCTTTTTGACAGTCTCAGTTGCAGCAAAGAGAATGTGAGGTCTTTTTTTTTTTTCCTCTCATATCTCAACTCACCAGGAGACAGAAGCTACGAATCCTTACGCTGCCCGATTCCCACTTTGGTCACTATGTGATAACCGTGCGATCATTAATCATACTGGGTGACTGTTTACCTGTCCACTGTTTCTCCTTGTAGATAGGAAACTTTCTTTTTCCTCTTCCTGAGCTTCCTCTTCGCGGATGAAAAATGTGTGGAAAGACTGAATTTCAAGCTCCCGTTGGTCGTTCCTGTGCTCGTACTTCACTGTTGAGAGTTTGGGCTGTACCATACTGTATGCAGTAGAAGATTAGACAAAGACTATACCTCATATATACCATGCAGCAGATATATTGGTACCTGTGTGTCTGTGGAGTATGTTTATGTGAATATATGAAGGTTTGTTTGTTTTTGTTTTGTTTTTTTAAAATGGGAGCATTTTCGAGGTGTACACGTTCAGGGACCATCCATAATACTGTTGATTATCATTAGTTAATGTGGGTGTCTGTCGAGCAGTGCCTCATTTCACTGAAGGAAAATAATTCACATTGACGGGAAATATCAGAAATTACGTGGTCAGTTCATCCGAATTATAAAAGCAAATACTATTTTTTTTATACTTCTAGTGGTGAGGAAACTCTTGAAGGATGTTCTTTTGATTTGCACCTTATATCAAGAAAAAAAACACCACTCCAAACGATCAATCAACTGAGGCTTTGGAGGTATAATAATATGTGGCCATGCAGGTTGTTTTGAGAAATCTGTTCAGGGCTTCTATTACGTTACTTTCATTATGGCAAGGCTGTAAAACTATCATCACCATTTCCAGAGCCCAAGGTGACTCAGTTTTATTGCACTTTTTGTTTTGTGCATTGCTCTGTCCAGATTCCCAGAAATATTACGTTCATTAAGACTTCAAACTGTAGCAGATAGTGCTTTAAAAAGCTAAGTAGAAAAGAATGTTTCTCAATTTTATTTTATTTTGTTTCATCTAATCATGGATGGCACAGTGACTATTACGCTCCAAAGTGTCGCTCAGATTTCTGCCACACCACCCCATTACAGCTATTTTAATTTGATTTTTGATTTTTTTTTTTTCCCCCCATTGACTGCTGCTTTAAAATTGCTGCTGCAATCTTGTCGCAGAAACAAAAGAGCACGGCTGATTTAGAGTGTGAATGTGAGACCTTCTCAGCTGCGAAAAGCTAAAACTAAATTGTGGATCGAGGCTCGGGAACACCCCGAAAACAAAGGGGGGAAAACATTTGCTTTGTTTTGTTATGATTGCTCGGTTTGGTTTCATTATTTCCTAAAAACTTGTCAGTATACTGAGCAGAAAACAGGAAGCCATAAACATGTAGCATATGTTTTATTAAAATGGGTCTGGGAGCAGAATTTCATTGACATTTAAGAGAGATCTCCGAAGCTCGACTCTTAATACAAACACTGCCTGCATAGCCACATACTACTGAAGTCCAGTTATGCCTTTGGTCTAATTTGGGTGAACTGATCCACCTCCAATCCCCAAAACATCAAGTCTGTTTCTTCAGATGAGCTGCACTTCTTTGTATTTGATCTCCACAGTGTTTCTTACCCCAAGGCTGTCTCCAGCCTTTCCTACCCTCATTTGCTCTTTCACAGCATCCATAGATGATGTCATCAGTGTCCAAAGCTTAGGACAGACATCTCGTAGCCCCCCACCTGTGTCTTAGCCTCACCATGTCGCGTCGCTTTACCCCGTCTCTATATTCACTTTTCTTTCCTTTTTTTCCTCCATGGGAGGTCTGCTGCTTTTTGCTGCTCCCGCCACAATTCAATACTTTCTGCTCTGGCTCTCACAGTGAGCGCCGCAGAACCCTTCTCTCCCCTCCAGCTGTGGTTAACATTTCTGTCAGCAGATTTCACTTCATCTCCCATCGCACTTTCTCCCCGGTGTCTTATAACCTTGTCATAAACTTCTCCCCTGCTGTTTCGATGTGCGTCTGACTTTCTGTGTAAACGTCTTTTTCTTTTTTCTCTCCTTCTTGTAGCACTGTTTTTGTTTGTTCAGAGGTAATATATGAAAGTCTCTTCTACTTGCATTTGTTATTCACGGGGGATTAACGCTGCAGAAGAACAAAAAGAGATGGGACGCGAATAAAGATGAAAACACAAAGTTAGCCTTTTGTAAAGGCCTCTCTTTATCTTCTAATACTTCCACCCCCCTCCCCAACTGTTTAATTCATTAATTAATATCTGGATAATTAACATGCTGTTCCTAAATAGATTAAGTGATGATCAGCAGGGGGCAACATTGAGTCGGTGTAAATGTCTGTGGATGCTGTCAGTCAGAGAAGTGCAGCGGCATATCAACCCTCTTAGACTGTCCAATGCTTCACTTGTCAGCAGTCGGTCTCCCGCTCGGCATATCTGTCAAGGCGAGCATTAAAGTTTACACTTCAACTCACATGTAGTTAAAAGAAGTTTTCCCATGTTTACCACTTTGAGGTGAAGGTATGGTTGACAGCAGCAAGCAGGAGTCGAACATAAAATGCTTCTTTGCTGCTGCTGCTACATAAAAATGGATCAGGGATCTGGAAAAATGGTGCCTCTCCTCGCATTTTGGAAGGGGGGGGGGATATGACGGGTGACTTTATGATGTTCAGCAACAGCACAGATAACATGACCTGCTGGAATAATGAGGCCCTGAGTCCAGAGCATTATATTGTGAAATCAACTAATGAGGAGCTGATTCGTGAGTCCCGTTTTAATTAAGGGAATGTGTACTGTTGCCAAGTCTAGTTAGTAGACAGCATTGTCGCAGTACATGGCAGCTAATTACTACAAGCTAAAGGGCAAGGTGTGGGGGGAAAAAAAGGACAAACAAAATACCCACTCCTACACACGAGTAATGGCGGTGTGACTGATGGAGATAAAAAAAAAAAAAAAATCTACAAAACAATTTGCAAACGCAATTGGTTTGTATTTAAAATGCAAAACATGACATGCAGGAAGTGCTGAATTGTGCAGCGAGTTCTCCCAGCAGATCTAATTATGGGCCACAAAATGAATGTACCTTTACCCATGAACCCAGTTACCTGCACCTCTGTAGAGAGGGGGGGGCAGCTGCTAATGAACAAAGCTGCTGCCGCCGCCCGCCTGGTGTTTTCCCCCATGCATACAAACCTCCATTTATATTAATTTAAACTTTAAGGGGCCCGCTACGCAGAAGCTTGAGGGAACAGTTTCTTGAAGGCGTTCTTGGCAGCTTTGCTCACTGCTGCAACTGGATGGCAGGCAGGAAAAAAGAAGGCTGGCACTCTGTTAAAGCTCAATGCCAGGAGTGAAGGAAACGCAGCGGCAACACTGATATATGACCATGAAGAAGCGAGGAACCATCTGCTCTCTCTGGGATGTTTGTATGTCAGGGGCTGAATTTAAGATGCATTAAAAAAACTATAAAAGGTTTCAACCCTGGCAGTAAAAAACAGACATGCTTTACAACAGCCAAACTTTTTTTTTTTAATTAATCCAGCATGAAATTGATCTCAACACATAACATCCATCATCAGTTAAATAGTAAAAAAAAGGATTAAAAATAAAAACAAACATAGAAAATTGAATCATTATCTTCTGATTTTTTTTTAATCACTAGCCATTCTGGTCTTTTGGATCCAAAGGCTTTGATTTGGCCACGTAACTGCAAGTCTACGTCGTTATAGAGAGAATATAAAGCATGAATTTGTCCTTTTATGTTTGGTGTTCACAGCAGAAAGGGAGGACGCTTCACTTTGATGAAGATGTTCTGAAAGAGAAGCCCCAAAATCAATATAAAGCACACTCTGGGGGGAAAATGAAGAGAGAATTATATTGTTTCTCACCCGCAGTAACCAAGTGGCACAATGCTTCACAAGGTTAGCCAAGCAGCTTTTGGGCTGAGTGGTTAATGTCATTAAAAAAACAGTGCTGCTCACTGTAATTCGGCACATTTCTGTGTGATTGATGTACCATCTCTGGTGTCTGCGCTGCAGTGGAAATTCCCACTGAGGCTTGATTGAAAACAGAGCATCCTCCACAGTTTCCTGCTTATCAAACAACCTGCGGGGATGTTTTATTATGCTGTCCCAGCGCGCTGCAGAAATCCTCAATTTAAAGTTTTTCTTAGCATTAATGAACAGCGAGTCAACTTTATAACCCCTGGCCTGCAATCTGTCAGGTCTCTGATGAAAGATAACAACAGCAATATATTAGAAGTCCACCTGAAGTAGAGGCCTGATGTTTGTAGTTGAGACAAATTAGATATGCCTTAGATAAAGTAATGGAGTAAAGGGCCAATCCACACATTTCTACACACTGCTTGGCACATGTGCTTCTCAGCCTCTGAATAAGGCCTTTACTTCTGGAGGTGCTTTGCTAAGCCTGAATAATTAACTACTGTGATTCCATCAAGGTTACTCCGAGTTCTGATTAGTTTTTATGCTAGGGGGCGCTGTTTTTTTTCTCCCCCTCAGGAACCATGTATTACCAAGTGCAGATATATAGTTTGAAATTTACAGATATTCAGTTCGACACTAATATTCATCGATTTGGGGCCTTGACCTACAAATGCAATCAAAAGTTTGCAACTTTGTCTATAAAAAGCAAAAACCATACCCAACCTGAATTTGAGCTCCCCTTCAAGGTCAGCTTGACCTTCTCGAGTGCTTCCAGCACTCCCACTATTTTTTTTCTTAAGTCACTCCCTGGAGCTGCCCTTTTCATCACATGCATCTCGGCAGATTCATCGCGACCTCAAATGCCTCGAGTAAACAACTTCCCTCTCAAACTGACCAGGATGTCACATAAAAGATCATCCACAGTGATGAGAGCAGAGGGTTACAAACTACAACACAAAACACCAGAATGCACTTTTCAGTGGAAGTGCCTGAAGGCGCTGCATCAAGCCGCGAACACAACCACGAGCACAGGAACACTTTCCTGGTGGTGTGGACTGTGATTTTGTCACCCTTGTCTCTGTAATGCTATAATATCCCGAGGCATCAGAGAGAAAATATTCCAATAAAAGCCAAAATATTCTAATCTTCCTTGTTTGCCTTTGCACGCCTGCAGCATATGGCCACAGGATAATTTTGAGTTTGCACTCTGGTGGTGGAGATACAGCAACCGTCACAGACGCACAGGCGGTCAGAAGGAAAATTCTAGTGGCTGATCAAAAATAGCAGTCGCGCTGAATGCACTGCATTGTTGCCAAATTTAAATAAGGTATGTTTATTTATTCTAGGTGGAGTTGCACAACGTCATGGTCGTGCCTCTTCAAAACTCAGGATATCTTGGTCTCTGCTGCTTAATATTAGACCATTCTGTCTCTAACTCTCTCCTGTTAGGTATCCAAGCTTTAAGGGTGTGGCAGTACTCATTTTCTGGAAAGCACTCTGAAAAATATTTGCAAAGTAAATTAGCTGCATAATACATTTAAATGGTGACAAAGCTTATCAATACAACTGACATCAATCAAATAAAAGATAAAATACATGAAAATACACGTGAAGCTTGTAGCAAATAAATACAAGAAAAAATTGATTGGCTCTTTTGCGTTTGGATGGGGTGCTGATGGGACAGTAAGGCCTGCGCTTTGTGTTTTTCTGAACCTGTGCGATTCTGCTTCACGAATCAGCTCCGTGCAGTCAGACCTGTCGTCGTGTCAGACACCACAACAGCAGATGCAGCTTCAGCTAGATTGAGCTCTGCGTCTTAATAAAAGCTGTTCTCTCGCTGTGACCGTCCACTTCCTCGCTGTCTGATTCAGACTCGTAGGCAATCATGTCCTCATCTGCCCACACAGTGGGGATTCCTTTGTAGCATATCCTTGCCTTTCTCTCCCGTCCTTGCCGGAAGCCAAAACCAAAGCCCACCCGCACCCCGTTCGTCTCTGAAAATCCAGAGGGCAATTTGGTCCTCCAGGCAGAAGCGCCACCTGAGCGTAACTGCAGCAAGAAGAAGACCCCGACGAAGGCAGCCAGGATGAAGGCACAGCTGAGAAGGGCCACGACGGCGGGGAGTTGAGTGGACGGAGCTACAATGAGCCCTGGGGATTCCTCAGCTACTTTGCTGTCGTGGTCTGCTGCTGCTGGACTCGCACCTTCTGGCTGCGCTCCGTCACCCTGGAGTCCTCCAGTTAGAGGGGATTTTCGCTGGACTTGGTTCTGGTGCAAACAGGAGGTGAAGACCAGATGGCTGTGAGGAGGGCAGGACAGGCAATCTGCAGGCCCGGTGCCAGAGCAAGTGAGACAGGCAGGATTGCAGGGCAGGCACGCCTGGACGGAGGACAAATCTACCCAGTTCTCCAGAGAGAGGTTGAGGAGCTGCTGCCCCGACGTGAAGCCTGGCGGACACAACTTCACACAACCCTGCAGGAAGAGGGAGAAGCCAGGGCTGCACTCTGGATGGAGATGGGGCAGATTAATTAGTCAAGAGGGCGTTTATGTCAAAAACACAATGAAAATAAGACCTACAAATGATTTCTGAACTTTGAACCACATACCGTCAAACACTGTTTAAAAATATATATATATATATATTTATGTATTATTATCACTCCCACTGCACTGTGTATTTTTACTGTATATAGTAATCATTTGTACACAGTATAGTATTTTGGCATTTTTTTGTACACCATTTTTCCTATTTTTATTTTTCTAATACATCTTTTTCACCCTGTCCCCTGCGCACAAGTGAATTTCACCAGTGTGGGATTAATTACAGTCCATATCTATGTCACTGCATGTAATTAATTGGAACTACATTTCTTACTTGTTAATGAGATAAAGAAGCTATAAAGCGTCTTTAGTCTATAAAAACCATAAATAAATATGAAATATATTCTACCCTAAGACAGCTAATTTACAAAAGAACACAAACAGGCAAAAAAATAAGTGTTAACAATCATTTCAGTATTTACTCCTTTTGTCCTTTGTCGGTTTCTGCAGTCAGAACCTTAGACTTAATTTGAGGGAAATTAGCAGGCAACTGAGGAAATGAAATAAAAGCAGTAATAACTGTAATGTTGATTTTACTGAAATTTTTGAAATGTCTAAAATGATTAAGAGGAAAGCGCCTGACTCGAAACATAAAATAATTTTTGACTTCGTCTGCTTTTCACTGAGGAAGTCATCCTTGCTGACAACATGCACCTGAGGCACTGGCGCAGTTTAAATCTCCCCTGCTGCTCGCAATACGTTCCACTCTTTGATATGACATATGGCAACGTGCGTATTCATTGTGCGCACATAAACAGATGCGCAAGAGGCTTGTAAATTGCCAATTTGTATTCACAACATTCACTTTTCACAAACTGAAATGCTCAACACAGTCTGACCCAAAGCCTGTTTGGTAACAATGACTGTATGCCGGCGCCAATACAAATGAATCTATTCAACCTAAGTGGCTCATGCGTGACAGTGAAAGGCCGATCGATCTCACCGATACAGATCTGCTGGGCATCGAATGTCTTGCAGCTGTTGTTGGACGGCCGAGGGAAGTCAGGGGACGAGGGGTTGACTATGCTGGGCCCAGTTCCCCACAGGATGAGGGTGAATTGACTCAACACACCTGAGGAGAACAGAGGCAGAGAGAGTGGAGGTGTAAGTGGTGAAAGAGAATATCAATTTAGCACTTCTCAAAGAGGGAACAGAGTGAACTGGCTGAGAAGAGGATATGGGGGTGGAAAGACAGGAAACGAGTGATGTGAGTGGCCCAAACAACAGTGGAGGAGGATCAACAGCAGCAGAGAAAGAGAGGTGTTTCTCTCGTTTCCCTCTGCTGCTCAGAGAAAACAAATCTACTGGAAAACATGGCAACTCTTTCTGTCAGGGTGTGCTGCCATTTGCTTTTAGAGCTAAAGTGCAGCCCAGTTGTTGGAAAGAAAAACATTCTCAAGACACTGAAGTTTTGATAATCAAATAGTTGCCAAAGACTTTCTTGCAGAAGAATCATTCTCTGCCCAGAGACTCTTAACTTTTAATCTGGAGCAGTTTCTAAGTGCCTCTCTGCTGGAACCAAAACTGTTATAGACCGTTAGAAAAGGAGAGAAAAGGAAGAACTGCAGAGAGGCTACTAAGAGAAGCATGGAAATACATAAGATAATGCTGGAACGGAAGAAGGTTTGATGTGATGCGACCAGTCCGGGCAATTAATGAAGATGAGTTAGGTTACCATAGTCACGTCCATTAGGTGCTACATTTTCTATCTCCAGGGTCCACTCTCCTTGAGGGTCTTCGTCCCATGAGTGTGTGGTCATAAAGGCCCAATCATTGAAACCCTCTGAGGAGAAGTCATTGGGCCTGAATAAATAAAAAGAGAGGACATGTTGGTGTTTTTTCCCTGCATCTGAAAGCAGGCATATTCTGAGTATTTGTCTCAGAGAATACGCCTCTGGGAGCATGTGTGCCGAAGTAAAACCGAGGGACACGCACATTATTTGTCTGTGTGTGGCACAGAAAAAGAGAGATTTATATTAGGACCTGGCTGCTGTTGTCCTGTTTTTTTACTGTGTACCTGGGGAACAGCAGGGTGGAGTGTGTACCCAGCGGGCTGATGAGATGAATGGCCAATTTTCCTCTCTGGTTGTAGGAGAGAGTGAGGCGAGCCTGAACGTGTTCCAGGGAGCTGACATGCTCTGGTCGTCCCCAGCAGGCATCCACGCTCTTGCTGAACACCAGTTTGTTCCCGATGTCTCTGCAGGTTTGACAAGTGGCGGGCAGAGTGGTTAATGTTGTGTGGAAGCAGAAATGGACACCGAACAGCACTGTGCTTTAAACTTAAGCGACCTCCCCGGCTTGGAGGAGAATGCAGCGACATCCATCAGGGTCAGAGATATGATAGAACAGGAAGTCTTTGTAATAATGGTGAAACTCTTTTTACAGACAAACCCACACACACATGCTCTAAGTCATCCTTCTAACCTTGGTTCTGAAAGCATCGTGTTAACACACTGGTGCTGCGGTCCCACTGATGTCCAATTCTGTGCCAACGCCACCAGAGCACCTGTATCCAGGAGCCCATAACCGTACGAATGACTCACTGTGGAGGAAACAAAATGGAGGGATAGGGAGCGGATGGCAGTTTTGTGGGTGGTGGTTATGAGATAGCAGCACAGAGTGACAGAAATTACAATCAAACAATCCTCTCTACAGCAATACTTCATCTGTGCCTGAGAACATAAACCAGTGTGTGAATGTGTGTGTGAATGGGTGGGTGACTGGATGTGTAAAGTGCTTTGGGGTCCTTAGGGACTAGTAAAGCGCTATACAAATACAGGCCATTTACCATTTACCATAAATGTGATTAAAAACAGCAGGGATTTAACAGTCCAACTGTCACCGACAGTCAGTAATAATATAAACAGGTTTATCCAGCCTATCATATTTTCTTTTTTTTTTTATCATTAAAAAGGAGGGAAAGGGTCTTTGGGGCAATGTCAGAAAAGTTTCTCTATGTCTCAGATGGCTTTCTGTGGATGAACGACAGCAGCTGGCAGACTGAACCTTGGCAGGGAATGGAAGACAAAGTCAGACTAATTCTTTAGCCTACAGGCCGCAGACAAACAGTGTGTAGCTGGGACCACACCATCACCTAAATGAAGATCTGTATGTATGTTTATCGGCTACAGTATCTACCCTGCAAACTAATGCCAACAGAAAACTTTCTGGGTAAATGTTTCACGGCTGTTCCAACAAGATAAGCTGCAAAACATAGCATGTTCATGCGTGTCAGTTTGGTAGGAAGTACACTTTAGCAGAAAAGATAATGCAGGTTGTTCTTCAAAGTCTGTTTCTGGCTGTTGGCCAGTGTGACTGTTTCTAACAGAATGCCAACATTGCTGCTTTAATCGAATAGAAACAAGTTTTACTTTTTAAAAAGGACTAATTGAGCATCTATGAACTAGACGCTAAGTGCATGAAACCTAAAGACAAACATTTATGTTTATTCTTAAAGCAGTACACAAGAAATGAACTAGAAATTCTGAATGTATTCATCTAAGTAAAGTATAAGTAATATAAAATTTTATTTATATAGCATCTTTCAAGATAAAATCACAAAGTGCTTCACTGAAGCCAAAAACATAAAATCAAGTTTAAAAAGATGAGTTTTTAACTTCTTCTTCTTCTTTTTTTAAAAGAAACCACTCAGTCAACAGATCTCAAACTCAAAGGGAGATAGTTCCAGAGTCTGGGGGCCACAGCTACAAAAGCTCTGTCATCTTTAGTTATTTAGCCTTGTGTGATGGACAACCAGCAAGCCCTGATCACATGACCTCAGGGACCTGTTGGGGATGTATGGATGTAAGAAATCTCTGATGTATGTTGGTGCTTGTCCATGCAAAGCCCTGAATGTAAAAGTCATAATCTTAAAGTGAACTCTGACTTTAATGGGGAGCCAGTGCAGCTGGATCAGGAGGAGTGTAACATAAGAGTACTTGGAAGACTAGTCCAAACGAGATGAAACAAATGCATGTATGATCATTTCTAGTTCAGAGCGTGACACAATAGGACTCAGCATTGTTTCATAAATGATAAAAACAGGAGCGAAGCAGAGATTTAACATGAGCGTCCAAAGTCAGAGCTGAGTCAAAAGTTACACCAAGATTCCTGATAGAAGGTTTGGCAAATTTAGCAAGAGGACCTAGATTTTCCAAAACCATGGGCACAAATTTATCGGGAGCACAAACAAGGACTTTTTTTTCTCCTCATTAAGTTGAAGAAAATTATCAGCCATCCAACCTCTAATGGAGTATATACAAAATCTGTAGCTTGGAAACATCTTGTGGCTTAAAGGAGATATATAGCTGAATATCATCTGCATAGCAGTGATAAGAAATGTCCATAAACGTGCTCAGAAGGTTTGCTGAAGAGGGAGTAAATACAACAACAACAATAAAGGTCCTAAAACAGAACCTTGCGGCACACCATAGGTAAGAGAAACAGAAGAGGATCTGTACATAGAGGTAGCCCCAGAGAAGGATTGTTCACACAAATAAGATTTGAACCACTCCAAAGCAGACCCTGATATACCCACCCAGTGTCTCAGCCTATCGGATTGGCCTGCCTTAAACTCGGCACCAACTAGGCCACAAACCTTTGAGCCAGGTCGTGTTAAGTAATGGTTATAGCCGAACTGTAACAAGCAAGACAAAACCTTCCTTTGAGCAGAGAAGAGATTTCTATTTGTTCAAGTTCTTTGCATAACAAACTAAAATGTATCCATTATAAACAATTAGGGATATAATTTGTTTAAAAATATGTTAGTTCATGTTATCAGTTCTTGTCCACATGTACATGGTAGCTCACACTTCATCAGTATAACCTATGGTATTCAATGGCTCCATGAGGGCCACCATAGCCATTCACATCTTTGTTTTCTGCATTTTCTTTTCTTTAACCCGATAATTAATATTTTGCTTACAACATTATGCATGACAGGAAAAGTGTTAAATAACTAAGTATTTTCATTTCAATTTTTTTGTTAAATTTTTTGTTAAATTCAGTAGTCTGCACTGCATAGGAATAGCAAACTGATCAAAAATATGACAATTTTAACACAATTTCACAGTTACTTGGTTACTTAACTTGAATCAGAAAAAAATGCATGTTATTGGGAAACTGGGCATCAATCCACTCTGGCATGGAACTAGCACAGAAATAGCAAAGAAATACCAAGTGCTAAGAGTTGTAATAACCAGAATCTTAGGGTAGCTTTCTAAACAGAAATGAACATTTAAATTTACTCGACAAAAATGTAAATAATTGCTAATAAATGCTCATCCCTTGGCTGGGCTATACTGCCATCTGGAGGGAAAGACACATATTATACTGATCAACCATCACAGCTTACTTGTTCAACAAAGTTGAACAACAGTGTAAGAGAAACTAATATTTCTGCTGCTCCAAGTATGCATGTGTGTAACAGACCTGTTTCCCTGGACTGCTGCGACATTACTATAAAAATAATGCTTGGAGGTACATTTAGTTCACCAAGCGTTTACCAGTTAAGCAGCAGTCAGGTAGGTACTTGTAACACATCTGCACATATTCCGTATCATAGCAACCAAAGCCGTCCAAAGCGCTCTCAAGCAAGGCATTTTCAAAAGAGCGCTTTAGTGAACTTTCCATTTGTACTCATTATTGAGGCATAGACACAACTCCACATGTTACCACCTGCTCTTGATTTGTCTAATAACTGTATTGAGTTTTTACCTCTGCGCCCCACTCCGTTGGTCTTCCAGTCACCAGCGCTGAGACGCCCGGGCTGGGATGTTCTCACCACCAGGTGCTGCATATCCCTCCAAGTTAAGTTCATACTGCGCAGACAGGGAAGAAAGAAATATAATCACATTTACATTCTCTCATGTAATAGGTGAGGCTAATACCTTCCTATTATGCACATTATGAGAAATGTCAGGTTTTGATGACCTCAACTGTACAACAATACAGGCCGGGAAATGTGAGCAGCAATGGGACACGGAAAAGGTCAGAAGACTGTAAAAAGACCTGAAATGTGATCCATCTGAGCATATACAGTGAGAACAACCGTACAGTGTTGAAATACTACACTGAGAGGTGGAGGGAACCCTGAGGGATGTGCCACTCAACTAAAACAAAGCTATGGACTCACATAAAGGTTTTAACATGGGCATAAAATACCAGCATCAAAGGTACATCATAACCTACTGTGTTGAAAGGTCAGGGAACACTGTAAAACAAAACCGTGGAGGACAGTCTATGCCTATCTGTAATGATAGTTTCTAATAGGTTCTGTGAGTTGGGGACAGGGTCACCTCCAACATAGTTGAAGCTCAGTAATTTTTTCCCCTTCATATAGATTTATTAAGGGGTCTAGCTGTAAGTATCCAACAGAGAATCCTTTAAGTCACCACTAAGAAAAACTGCTCTGTGGGTTAAGATAATCACAGAGCTTTACCGAGAGCAACACCACAGTTGTCAGAAATAGAAACACGGAATTGCACTGTGGTGCATCACCTCCGCCAACCTCCACATCAGCATTCACATCTCACATCCTCTCATGTGTTATTAATGGACAAGATCCTCCGATCCACTCAATGTCACCTCAGCCAAGAGCGAAGGAGAAAATAATAAAATAATAAAACACCAGAAAGCCAAAACACTCTGCCTATTAAATGATTCCATCTCTGTGAATTCCAGTGCGGTCCCAGACTGATAAACTAGCTACCCTGTTATTACAGCTGCCTGTCAGGAGGGGCTTCAGGAGGAGTGGGGGGGGGGTGGCTATACACTGATAAATACTGACTCTTGTGCGGTGTTAAACCAGAGACGCTGAGCATACCAGAACTGAAACTTGGCTGTGTGGTACTACTGGATTGATTTGACAGCTGTCAGCAAATCACTAATGTGGAAAGGAGGAGAATTATGCACAGTAAAGCACTGCTTACTGATAAAACTGACTTAACACATGCAAGATATGACTCAAGATAATGGGGAACACATTAGAGCTGCTGACAGAAACTTGGATTCTGACACCTGGAGTCCTGAGTGAGCAATAATGAGAGACATTCACCGGTTTAAAATCTTCACCATGGGCCCTACAGGTATTCAGATGTCTGTGTGGGCTGCAGCTGCTGATTTGTCTCACTAATTAACCAATTATCAAAAGCTTAATCTGGAGTGGAAAGAATTTCTCGGCTGGGATTTAGGCCAACGCCGCCTTCCCAGAGACGTCTGCGCATTTACAGACGTGAGTCCACGCACATGCTCCCACATGTAGCACGCAGTGGATCATAATAAACTAAGTTAACAGTAGCATAAAGTAAAAAAAAAAGCTTTACATTTCTGATTCCCTAATGTAGAAACAGATGATACAGGGGCACTCACTTGGCCTCCAGAGCTAGAGCGATGATCCCAGCAGCGAGCGGTGCTGACGCGGACGTCCCCGTGTGAGAGTCTGTGCATTTTTGCCTCAGGTCGGTGGTCACCTTAGAGACAAGCAGATAGAGAGAAAGTGTAAATAAGTACAGGAGGACAGACATAGTTGATTTGACACATTGAGTTTCCCACTTCAACATGAGTGAAGCTCCCAGGCAGAGAAACTAAGAGCTAGACAGATGAGGGCCGCGGACAATAGGAGCTCTCCCCACAGCTATGTGCGATGGAAAAGAGGAGAAGGAGAGAATTAGTAGGTGGTTCAGTCTCAGGTCTGTGGATCCCTGCCAAGGGGTCACACCTGGGGTAATGAAGGTCAGCCAAATCAGCCCAGCCAGGTCAAGCTGTGGTGAGACAGAGTATGTTAGCACTCCACGTACATCTCTCCTCTTGGTCTCTGCAAGTGCCAGAAAGCTAATGAGGGCTGTCTGGGTCACGATGAGGACATGTCAGAAATGACAAAGAAGCCAAAGGCAAGGTGGTCTATGAAGGTTAGAGACAGATTCTTGGTTTGCAACTTTTGGCCTGACAGATTGTGGCGTTAATGACCATTATCTGTGGAAAGATGTGTCAGAGGGGTAAACAAAGGGAGGGCAGGTGTCTGCACAGGCCAGCTGTTAGATATAGGACCTGGACAGAATAACACTGAAACAATAATATTTAACAGATTAAATGCTGGAAGTTAACTGATTCATCTTAAAATATCTTTTTTTAAATATTGAGTGAAATCTTTTGTAAATAACAGCTCAGACTATCTGCAGCTTCTTTTTAGACATTTTCTTGGTTTTATGACTGTGAAAACTCGACATTTTTTGATTTTTTTTTTTCTAACTAGACAAATTAAGTTTTTCATATAGCAGGTTAGAAATAGAAAAAGGTCCCAGATCAGATTCAGTGTTATTTATCTATCGAGACTATTCTGGTGTGAGTTGCTCAGTTTTAGAGATAACATCTATAGGGACGTCTGCCATCTCTTGAATATAATAGAACTAAATGGAAATCGGCTTATGGCCAAAAATACACCTGAAAAACTCAGTCCCCCCCCCCCCGAAATATGATCCCGTTACAAAAGAAAAACCCACCAACCATGTTGTGAGGTGATTCATTTAAGAGAAAACTGTCTGTGACAAGTGGCTCAGGCTCATGACAGGATGCAAATGCTGATGTTGCTGGCACTCTGCTAAGCTGTAAATGCCAACCAAAAGCAGTTGTATACAGAAAAAAGAAAATTCTTTGTGACTCACACTGCCCACAATAGCTGGGTTATGGTTCTGCAATTCATTCATTCACAAATATGTGCCACAAGCCAAAATCCATTAAATGAAATTATATTCAAGCGTAGGCAGACACTGCTGCGGCTAATGTCTCCCGAACTGGACAACTCCCACCAAAAGCACAAAGTATATGAAGGACTAATAGGGTTACTATATTTTGAGATTTCATTTTAGGAATATTAGGTGCTGAAAAAATCTGGATACTCTAAATCAAAATCTTCCACAAAATGTTGACTATTTTGAAAACGCAGCTGAACTGTGGGGCTCCATAAGCAGCATCACATATGATAGAACTGTCATAGTGTTTGGGAAAAGGAGGAGGAAGAATTCTCACTGCGTAGATGCTGATGGCCAGAAATGAAGCCACTGATAAAAGCTATAAGGCCTGCCTCGTTCAAGCAGAAGCAAAGCCTAGAAGATCTGAGAGCTGGCAGACATACAGCACAACTAGATGCTGTGCTAATAAATACCAGGTGCAGCTTTGCTATGAAATGCACACAAGGTACTGATACTGGAAACATCAGAGGTATGCTTGAAGGAATGAAGAAAGCAACGGGTCCAACAGATTCCGAAACAGCTCCTCAAGTCCAAAGCTGGTGAGTTTATCACTGGTGGAGATAAACAGATGGAGAGATTGGTGGAATGCTAAGTTAAAATATATGGCACAGAGAACAAAGTCACAGAAATTGCACTAAACACTGTTCCTCAGCTAACTGGAGAAGTGAGATGCAGAACCAACACTGAACAAGCTGGAAAAGGGCATCAGCTGCCTTGCAAGTGGAAACGCTCCTGAAAGTATCTGAGCAGTCGCGCTGTTTGGGATCTTCTTCACAAAATTCCTTCTGACACTCACAAACTGACACTGGCAAACTGTTCAACTTGGCAATATTACCAGCCAAGACAAAAGTCAGAGCAAGTCAGAGCAGCAGATCTATGAGCTGATGTTTGCTCATGACTTTGGAATAGTTACTCATGCTGTCGGTTCTGAGGTTCTTAATAGGTTTTCACATGCCTGAAATGAATTTGGCCTTACTTTAAGCATCAAAAACACCACGGTCATGGGTCAGGATGTGGATAAAACTCAGTGTGGAAAAACAAGAAGCTAATCCTAGCAACAAAAATCTGTGCCTACAGAGCACCTGTTGTACTGCAGTGACTACTTGGGGGACATAGTCCCATCACGAAGCAAGAACAGCTTTCGTCTAAGTTGTCTAAGCCTTGGAATCACATAGAAGGACAAAATATCTCAAACTAGAGTCGCACAAAACTGAGACTTCCAGCATGCAAAAGCTGCTTATGCAATGCCACATGTGCCGGTTTGGCCATGTGAAACATAGATGATGGCAGAATCCCCATGGTGCCAGGCCCACGGGGCACCTGGACTCGAGGTTCAAGGACATATGAAAGTGTGACATGAAGGCACGCCACATCAACACTGACAACTGTGAAGAAGCAGCTTCTGTTTGCACAATCTGGTGGAGTGTTACTAAAACTGGCACAAAAGTTGCCAAAGGGATCAGAACTAAAAGAACACAGCAAAAGAGGCAACAACAGAAGAAAGCAAACCAAATTAAACCACCATCTGAGTGGTCTGCCACAAGTACACGACAGATCGCCATTTCAGGTCTATCGTAGTTTTCGGGTCATAAGCCGCTACTTTTTTCCCCACACTGTGAACACTGCGGCTTATACTGACGTGCGGCTAATGCATATTTTTTTTCAAGCGGCCAAAAACATTTTGCCTGGTAACAGTAGACCAATAAAATTGATAAGTAGTATATATACGGTATATATTTTTACCAGTTGTTAAGAGACGACAATGTTGTTTGTGCACTGTTCTGTAAAAAAACCATAAGCAACGAAATTTGTGTGTTATCGATACGTACGTATACTTAAAGGTAGCCGTGTTACAGGCGCTGTTCGAGGAAAAAAAGCATTTGCAGTTACCATAACATTTAAGTTACCATGTTTATGTTACCTTACGGATTAAATTAAACGTTAAAAATCCTCATGTGTGATATTTCTGTGTAAATATCTCATATTACAAGTGAAACGCATACGGCTTAAAATCCGGTGCGGCCTGTACAACCACTTCAGAATCCACCTGACATGACAGAGCATCATAACAAAGGTAAGACAGACGACAACAAATATCAGGAATATATGAGGAAGAATATGCAACAATTCATTGAGTGAACTGAAAAAACCCCCCACCTACGTTTACAATAAATACATACTAGTTGTAGCTCTGGCTACAGTTTAACCTGTGCACATTATTATTCATAAAATTTCAAAATAAGAAAACATTATTAACCTTTAGTAAAATAACAATCAGTGCTTTAATTGTGCCATTTAATTATTTGAAAGCCTTATTTTTGTGAAAATATAGCGTATTTACTTTTTCTCTGTAGCAACAGCACACTGTGCCTTGAAGGCCAATTAGTGAACTTTGTGCCACTCGGTGGTAATGTGTTTATTTTTGGCAAACAGCCACATTTTATTCCATCTAGGTGTGCACAACAGATGAAGTTAATTACAGCCGAGTGCCATTGCTGTCATTTTAGTTAGAAAAACGGGAATTTATGTTTTGCTTTTCTCTCGCTCCAGTTGGGAAAAAAATGTGTAATCTCTGGAGATGGAGGTGACCAAATACGCTCACAAAATGAGCCACTTGGTAGTGCATGATTGTGAGAAACAGAAATCTAACAGAGTGAAAATAAATACTAGTTTGGGACAAACGGAAATTGCATAAACTCACTGGGTACTGCACCAAACGGCAGCCTCTGCGTGCTAAAGCAACAATACAACGCAAGTGCTCATGTATATTTTAAAATGACTTCACTTCTACCCATTTCATTTGGAGTTGTATTTACTTGCCTGCAGCACGCCTCTGGTGTAATTTGGAGGGAATGGCAGATTTATGGTTGTTTTATGTTATTCTGCGTCCCTGAAGCAAGTCTTTCTTCGGGTGACAAGCAGCTTGAGGGAATCATGGCATCTCTCAGTGTTTGTCGTGTTTGCTCATTGTATGTTTCACATCACTCAGACTTTGACATTTTGAAGTCTTTTTTTTTTTTTCTATTTGAGAGACACAACATTAATGTGTATAAACACTCAAAACGGGTTCAATTTGGATGCGTCGGCATGAACTTTTGGTAAGCGGGACGTGTAGCTGTGCTGTCAAACTTGACATTTACAGGGTGCCAAAGATTCAAAGTATTAAAAACAATCCTACACAAAATCTGAGATCTTTAAAGTGCATGTAAGCGTGTGTGTTTGTACACCTACTATCTGCTTCTCCCCCGGGTTTCCAGAGCTGAAGGTGGTAGCGAGGGTGGAGGAGCAGGGCTCGCTGTACCACGGCACGTTGCCGGACTGCGTGGTGCTGCTGATGGACAGGGTGTAAATGCTGTTCGTGTAGCCGTCACAGTTACAGCTGTCTTGCTCCCGGCCACCATTACCCGAAGCCCAGACGAAGATGGAGCCCAGTCCGCTGCGTCCCTGTGGTGCAGAAACATACACCTTTATGTGGCTGGAGTCCAGGAACAGACAAGGTTAAGAGGGAGAAGCTATCAGGAGCTGGTTCAAGTATGAAAAATCAGCTTTGACAGAGACGTTTGTCTCCATACTTAAATGGCCTGTCGTTAACGTGCTTTCTTTTAGAAACACTGAGGCGCTGTAGGCACAACTCTTATTAATACATCATCATGTCAAACGACTTATTGCAGCAGAACATCAGATAACAAACAGAGGAAATGTAATTACCAAATTTATTCAAGCTGAATATAATTTCAGGGCTGATAAATGACAACATGATATCTGGCAGAGAGACTGTGCTCCTAAATTACACACACTATCTGAGACATACGTACATTCGGTCCAGCTGGGTCTGGAACCACAACAAGAGCCAAGAAATCCTTGGCTCGGATTAAAATTTCACCAACCCCTTTTAGCAAAGTAACAAAGGGTGTTCTTTGTCAGCTCAGGAATACAAGCGAAGATTTGATTGCTCCATTTGTGACCAGACACACAAACGCTACATTTGTCTCCAGCTGATTAGATCAGAGTAACTCTTTATTTGCTGGAAAGCCCCAGAAATCGATCGACCGCCTCTAGTCGGTATAAAATTGGAGCAGCTAAAGTGCATACAAATCGCAGAGAATTTGTGCACTTCTCAGAATTTTGGCATTGCTGCTCTGCTTACTATTGCATTTTAGAACAGATTTACTGCTTTTTCTTTTTTTATTCTTTTTTGTGTCTGCCCACTTCCTGCAAAGCTGACCTTCTTTCTCTCAATATGTCGGTGATATTTAGCCCGAGGCCCGCTGACCCATTCTTGATGACTGCCGCCTGAGGCCAAGCTGGACGAAGAGACAGAGACAGCGGGACTGTCAGGACCCCACAGCTCTGTAATAGGCTCTGGGTTGACAACAACACTCAGTGTCCCTTTCCTAAGGTCTTACAGACTTTTAATTGGGATTACCAACTCTTACCTACTGCTGTCATTGCTGATCTTATTTTTTAGGTTGTAAAAAGTACACTCGGAAAATATACGGTTTATGCGGTGCTAAAACGTATTCTCTTTGTTTTTGATTGTAAATCTATTACACAGTTTTTAAAAGAAGAAAAAAATGCCAGTAATTTAAAAGGTTACTTTTCACTTGAATTTCCCCACAGCTCATATTTCCACTGAATATTTATTACATTCTGTCATTAGAAAATGAATCAGTTAGAAATTAGTTAGGTGAGAAAAAAAACAGATGTATGCCATTGCGCGTGCGCGTACACACACACACACACACACACACACACACACACACACACACACACACACACACACACACACACACACACACACACACACACACACAGAAAATCTACCAGTTTTCAGTCAGATTTTTTTCTTTTACCAACTCCTCCTCTGTACCTTGCTAATGGACTTACTCTGGGCTCTCGTTATGTGCCATCATTTATTTTATTCACTTTTTCTTTTAAGAGCACCACGTGTTGTACTGCCTGTTCTGCTCCTCTGTTTTGTACCTCTTTCATCGTTAATCGTACTGACTGAGCAGACCAGTGTGTATCATTGTTGTGTTTTTACATCAAGTATAAAACTAAATTAACTGATTTTCTTGGTATCTTGCTAGTAAAGATAAGATGCTGGAATATTTTATTCCTTATCACTGTTGTTGTAACACTGCCCGTCTCCGGCATGGCTAATCACAGAAATGTTAAGCTCATAATCGTACAACGGAAATTCAATAGGATGCGAATACAAATTTTAACTAAGCTTGTTCAGTACGTTTTTAAAATGATTATCCATTTAATTTTCTTAATGGATTCCCACATCCCCATCTCGCAAATGATCTCTCAAAGGAATCCAGGATAAGACTACATCTGCTGGGCGATGCAGTCCAAATCAAACTGTGTCCTAACAGTAGAGGCTAGAGAAGCTGTACATACTACTCTTAATTTATGGCCTGACGCTGTCCTGGTTGCAGGTTACAGAAGCCAGACGATAACAGTCCAGTGCCAAGGGTTATCTCGCTGCCAGGAGAGCACACACTGAACCAGTCAGCTCCTGCTTTGTTGCTGTGAGGCACTCTTTCCTCACTAACACACCATGATATCAGGAGCATTTTGCATTATGGGATTCTATAAATGAGTCATTCGGTTTCACTGAAAATTTTCATTAATTTATATGCCAATTAGAGCAGAGTTTTAATGTAACTGTTGTTCCGCATCAGTGACTGCTCCTCTCTTTCTGTTATCTTCCATCTCACATTTATCATTAGCCTATTCTCATAACGTCTTTTGATGCCACATACTGACACATGAAAAATGTTGGTATTAGACTTAGATAATAGTCCAAACTGTTTAATGTTTTATTCTATTCAAGCTTGAATGACTAAGCAGAGGGCAATTTTGCAAACTAACCTTGAGTTTGTCCTTCTCCTCAGTCTTGGGAAGCCATCATCAATTAAAAAGTAATATGCTCTGACTGTACAGGTAGAAAATTGTCCAGAACTTTTCTGACTTGTTCTATTAAAGTGTTCTTCCTGGAAAAGAGAGACTTTTTTTCTCCTTACCATCACCAGCTGCTTGGGAATCATGAGGCTTCGCTTGATTACTTTTTGGTGATTTACAGCTGGAAAGACCACTACTGTGAAAAAGTCTTTGTGCACTTCTTGATTTTTCAGTTTTTAAAAAATATTTTTCACAGTTGCATGTTTCACAGCACTGAAACAATTTTTTAAACAAAATGTATCCCAATTGCAGTTTTTAAGTGATGATTTAATTTATTAAGGGAAAAAGGTAAAACCTACCTGGCATGAAGAGAAAAAGAAGAGAAGAGAAAGGAAGAGTCCTTTAACTTCTATAACTGCTATAAAATTGGATTGACTTATAACCCCCCCCCACACACACACACTTTTTTGCTTCTTTGCAAAGTGAGCCAAGAGCTTAAACAAGCAGTCTAGTTTTATATAAAAGCAACAAAATCCACCTACTGCTCCTCTGAAACTCACTGATTAACATTTTTGGGACCAGCTACAAGACAACTATCAGAGAATGCGGCTGGTCTTTGTGTTAAAGTGTGTGTCCCTGTTGTTTTGTGTTTCTGTTGGCCTAACATGAGCCCAAAACTATCTCCAACACTTTTGCATCTGGAGGTTTCTGCATTTCAGTAATTTATCACTGTGGAATGCAAAGGCACACAGAACAAGCAGTGATGCAATAAAAACTGTTTCATGTAAAAATCAACCAGTGAATGTTTACACTGAATCTTTTGAGCCAAACACATTCTCTCTTACTCCTCGTATTTAAATTGAGCCCATCTCTCACTTAAGATCGTCTTCTTGTGCACCTCTGGACTGCTTCGGACACAGCTGGCATTTTTAAATAACTCCTAGGAAGTCTTTTTCAGACCAATTTCACCTTGGGTCTCAAACTTTGGCAAATAAAAAATACCACCTTCTGTGTCAATCTGACCCGGCTTTCATGTTGAGATTCATCATCAGCTGCGATGAGAGCTGAGTCTCCGGCTATTACCCACAGATCAAAAAGCTGGTTTTAGTGAAAGCGTCTGCTGTGTCCAAGCCTGAAGGCGGTGCATCAGGTAAGAAGCTCAACCAGGAGCGTGGTCATCGTTTTTCTGACATTCACAGGGTTGTGCACCGTGAATGTGTCCCCCAGGGTCAGACTGTCAATGAAAGTTTCACTGTAACATCTGAGGTAGAACATTCAGCGGAAACAAACTGAAGTATACTGGGGGTCGTCACGCACTGACACAAAGTGCATTGAAAGTAGGGCTGCTCAATTAATCGAATTTTAATCACGATTACGATCTGGGCTTTCAACGATCATTAAAAATGACTGAGCCGATTATTAGCCCCTCCCTCATTTATCTGCGACACCTTAAAGGCCGGTCCGTGAAAATATTGTCGGGCATAAACCGGTCCGTGGCGCAAAAAAGGTTGGAGACCGCTGATTAAGAGGACCCGAGGGAAGCTCGGAAAGCTAAGCAGAAGTTATTTGGAGAGTGACTGCCGTTGGTTGAAAAGAGAGTTTAAAAAAAAAAAACTTCAGTGGTGTTGCACACTATTTTATATTTTTTTTTTTAAAGTTATTGTTAACCCTTTAAAGCCGGTCAGAGCTGCACGCTCCGTTTTGCGTAACTACTGTTAAATCCCTGTAGAACCTGAACCGTGTAAGCTAGCGCAATAATTTGTTTTGCATATGAAACCGGCGGAGTTGTACTTACATCTTATGCCATCAGCTTGTCCTCGGTCACGGTTTCGTTCCACATATAGCTTTGCAAAAATTGCATAAAAAGCGCTTGCAGGAACAAAAACATAATATTCCAGAAACATGCTTTGCCGTTCCTGTCAGCTGTTCGTAACACTTCCCACAGTGAAATGATGCACATGCTGTTTTCTTTGCAAATTTGCATCATAGGATTGTTTTTTGTTTTTCCTGCAGTATATAAAAATTGCTGTATCTCCAAAATAAAACTATGAAGACACTCAAAATAAATTTCCTGTGGTGGGAAACTATTTTTTGCAACTTTATTGTATTTAAAGTTTTGAGGGATAAACCTCTTAAATTTCTCCAAGTAGAAATATATGTAAACAAAACAAAAGCGATTTTCAATTTTTTTTGTAGTTTATTGCACTTTTTTGCAATTTATGTAATTACTATGGAATTAATGCATACATATTATTAAAATATGGGCTATAACAGTTGTATTGATGTATAGCAACTTGAAATGCTCCCACAAATGGCACTACAGCATGTAAAAAAATAATATAAGCTCTGGTGGACTTGGTTCTATAGCAGGTCTTAAAGGGTTAAATAAATATCGTCAAATAATCGTGATCTCAATTTCAGTGAAAATAATCGTGATTATCATTTTTGCCATAATCGAGCAGCCCTAATTGAAAGGGAGTTTTTTTTGGCCTCAGCAACAAAGTCTTTGCAGACCACCTACATTACTTTACTTTACTGGCTCCTTGTGACTCTGTCCTCATTCCCAAGATAAAAGACAAATTAAAGAGAGCCTCAGCAAACGCGGTAGAGGACATTCAGATGCACAGGTATAAGTGGTTAAAACTGCTTCTGCACAGGCAGCAATCTACAGCTAAATTTAAATGAACGATGATTCCTGTTTTTTTATTTTGTGTGTAATTGTGAAGCCTTTTGATCACAGCTTGTAAGCTAAGCTGAGCTAAGCTTGATGGCGTCTCATCATAAACCAAGTAAATATGAGTCTCCCAGAATGTTGATTTATTACACTTTCTTTGCAAGCTCCTTTGACTACACTAAAGAGGTGATGTGACTTTGATAGTGATACTATAAATAAGAAATGCAAGACATTAGTAAATTAAAAGACCATGTTTGTGCTCTGACTGACCTTGGTGATTCCCTGGAGGAAAGCCTCCTTAGCCAGCTTGGCAGGGCCATCCAGAGACTTGCCGTCATCTTCCGGGCCCCAGCTGGCACTGTAAATGTGGATGTGCTGAGGGTTCAGGCTAAGAGACTGAGCCTCCACTACATCTGTCACCTCCCCATCCAACATACGAACTCCTATTAAAACAAAGACACAATGGAGGGTTTAGATAAGGTTACCGAAGAGAAAGTTATGAAGAAATAGTGACAGTGTGACAGACGGCAGAGGGAGTTGTGAGATACCTTAGAGACAAAACAGGCGTAAGTTGATAAAAAGAAAAAGAAGAAAAAAGTCAAGCGAATCAGTTAGAACGTAAATTTTCTTTCTCTTTTTTTCTCCAGCTGGAAAAAGAAAAACACAAGAAAACTGAAAACCGGAAAAACCAAGCTCTTCACAAGGAAACCAAGACTTCACAGAGTCTCAGTTTTAATGAGTAAGCACACAAAGCTCGCCCACGGATGCTGCTCTGGTGGATACTACACTATTTAAGCATCATGTAAACAAAACCCAGGGGGTTGTTAAACCAACCTTCCTGACCCCACCAAAACCTATAGAGAGGACAAGCAGAAGAATCCAAGAGTCTGCAGATGAGAGAAAGCCACACACGCACAGGTAAAAATGAGCTGAGAGTTTACAGAGCCTTCAGCAGTCTGCCGTGTCCACAGGGTAGCGCCGCATGTCACCTTTCATCATACCTGAACGCAAACCTGTCTGAGTCTTTGATGTGAGCAGCCTCAGATCATTCCTCTGAACATTAATAGCTGTAGAGAAGCGTGAAATAACCCACCCTCAAATAAGGTCCATTACTGTTAGAGGACCCCCGGACCTCAGAGGATACACTAAGACTGACAACGTCCCCGCATTAAGACTTCAATAATTCGTTCTAGCGAACCTGCCTAACCCTGTAGGAACAAACATACACCAGTGGGGATGTGACCAAGGCTGTAATTACAGAGTTGGCGCAGGCATTCAGTGCAACACGTCTTTGAATACTAAGCAGCCCGAAGCAAACGTAACTGCGCTAAACATGCAACATAAAGCACATTGTTTGCTCTGTGATCGTTACGCGAGGGCTGCACTGCAGCAGTAAAGGTAATTACTGTCGTAACAATTCTCATCAGCTTCCTGCGACTTGATGATTCCTGAGTAAGACACTTGCGTGAATTCCCTGCAGCTTTATCAAGTCACAGGTAGCAGCTACCGGTGCAGCTATGAGTGTGTGTGCAGGCACAAGGAAACCAAGTACAGTAGATGGAGAGGAAACACAGAGTGAGCTAAGTAGGGTCAATTACAGGTTTTAAGTACTAATCGCTAATTATTACTCTGTAAGGACACACATATTTTAGCTTTAGCACAAACACGACTGCTGCTCACACACGCATACCCACCCACACAAAAAACACACACAACTTGAGTGCTTGGGAGCGAATCACAGCTGTTTATAAGCAATCCACTGATGCCGTGACGTGAACAGATTCACAGAGGAATAATTTATGAGAGCGGGGCCAATGTGCGGCTCTGTCGGGAGATGAATGGTAATGAAGACAAAGAAGGAGAGTTATGAGTAACATCTGTGAACAGGCTGCTCAGGGCTCCACCGGCTCCGCTGAGTCTTGTTGGCTGCCATCATGGCATTGACAGATTGTTTGATGACAAAAGTTACTAAAGGCCTTCTTGGAATAATTTATCAAACACAAAAATATTCAGGAGGAAAAATAATCCTTCCAGACTTGATTTGTTTTCGCAGATTTAATTTGAATGAACTGCTTTACATACAGCATCTTTCTGTACGTATATCTGCACAGGCTGACAGCTTAATTACTGATTGGAAAAGATTCTCCCCAAAGAGTCTAATTTTGACTAACTTTCATATAAACATATGAATATGTATCAACAGTTTAACTAACTTTGGAAATCCGACTTGATTAAAATAAACAAATTAATTTAAAAAAATATTACGTTTTATGTGGAGAGCCAAATAAAGGTGGAGGGCAGCACAATGAAAGCACTGACACGAATTAAGAAAATCAGATTGAGCCTTTCATAAACATTGAACATGAACCTAACCGCTTTAAATGCAGGGATGAAATCGTTGCAGTGACCATTTTATTTGTTTTACTGGAGCATAGGAGTTTTAATTAAGTCATGATCTACTTATTTCCAGGCAAGAAAAACTGCAGCAAATGATCAAAAGCAATTCATCTCACAGGCTTTGGATAAAGAACTATTCACTGCATAATACTGCCTATCTCTGCAGCACACTCTCACTTGTACATCTGAACAATACAGAGTCAGTCAGTCAGTAAATGAGAGTCAGTGGTCCAGAAAAAAACATTATGGATATTAGCTTTAAAATCTATCACTGGATCATTAATATAATGCGAAGCCTGAGCTGCTGCAAAATTGTCGTTCTGACACAAACCCCAAAGTCCCAGAGATCTTAGAAGAAAGACATTAACTTCCAAGTTATTAATGGTGAATGTGTATTTTGTTCTGTATCAGTTCTAAGTGAAATTATCATAAACTCATTTAAATGAGTATAATACTGATTAAACCTTCTGCCAAATGAAAAATATCAATCGTGTGCTTAACTCACCTCCAATTTTAGCATTATAGGCCACACCCACGCCACATACACCATTGTTTGCTGCAGCTGCAACTTCTCCTGCACACCGTGTTCCATGCCTGGCAAGAGAAAAGGTGAAAGTGAATGAAAAGATGGGTCATAAGAAAAGAAAAGAACTTTAAAAAACCCCCACAAAGGCTCTGAAAGCTAAATAAAATTAGCGAAAATGGCAGTTAATGTTCCAGCTGTGCTGGATGTTTAAATAACAGGGCAGCTAAAGTATTGCTAAAAATAAATACGCAATCAAAAGAGAAACACAAGCCCATTGGCCCTCGTTAGAACTGCGGCACACGCATGTCTTACAGCTTTAACAATAGATGTCAAAAAGCCTGATATGCCTTTGACATTTAAGGGCTTCTCATTTAGACAGCCGTATAATTTAATACTTGTAACAACACAGAGAGCTGTAACCTCTGTGGTGAACCTGATGTGCAATTAGAACCATAAAGGACACATGAGATTTCTTTTCCACACAGCACGATAAGTATCAACAAGTGAAAAACTGTTGGGGTGCTTTATTAAAGAGGAGCTGCAAATATAGCATTCAAAAAAAAAAGAAAAATTGTTCTGTGAAACAACTGAAATTGTGACTTAATAAATCCAACATGATGTTTGCGTGTTACTCTAATCGTACTTTTTGCACTTTCATTTTTAACGGTCTTAAACGCACATTTTTCTCCCCTTCAAGTTTCAGCCTCAAACGTTCGCAGTTGAGGTCTTCCTCTTTTCCTCCGACCTGACAGCTTGATATTCAGCATCCTTTTTCCAATTTCACTATCCCTCGTCTGCACATGTCCAAACCATCAGCCTTGCTTCTCTAACTTTGCCTCCAAACTGCTCAACCTGAGCTGATACACTATTTCTAATCCTGTCCACCCTGGTCTGAAACTCTCTTCATCTCCACAAAACTATCCACACACTCTTCCTTCAAGATTACTCCTACTCCATTTCGCTTCCTGTCCACACCATGGTGGAACAGTCTGAATCCACCTCAAACACTCCTGGCCTTGCTTCCCATCTACCTAGTCTCCTGAAAACGCATTATATTAATTTTCATATCAGCCAGCCCTCGTCCTGTGCTACGGTCCTGACATTTAAAGTCCCTACTCTCACCTGCCTTTCCCATCTCCTCTTCCTTTGTCTTCAGCCAACAGCACGACAATTTCCACCGGTACCCTGCTGGCCAACTGCACCGGAGGCGCTTGTTGCTAACTAGTATGGAAATCTCATTCTTGATGATCCGCATGTTTAATTTGGCAAAGATTTTATACCAGATGCAACTCTGACCATTCATTCTTGGGTTCAGCGTGAGTGCACTGGCTGGGCCTCAAACTGGTATCTTGAACATAACAATGAATTCACTGTACTCAAATGGACTCCACAGTTACCAGATCTCAGCCAATAGAGCACTTTTGGGATGCGATAGAATCAGAGAATTTCATCATAGATGTATATCCGACTAATCTGCATCAACTGTGTGATGCTCTCATGTCAACATGGACAAAAATCTTTGAGGAATGTTTCCAAAACTTTTTTAGGGTCAAATCCTGCATTAGCAAGATGTATCTAATACAGTGTATAGTGTATATAGTAGTATACTATACTATAAAAACATGTACAAGTAGTATTAAACTCATTGTACATAATATTCAGACAGGACAACAGGCAGAAAAATCCTAACCCAGAATCACCAGTTTACCTAACATGCATAACTTTGGACCACAGAACGAAGCCAAAATGCCCGGAGAGAACTCTGTGCAGGCACATGGAGAACACGCAAATTCTACATAGTGAGGCCTCAGCTGGCAAGCAGATTCAAACCTTGGGCCTTCTTGCTGTGAGGAAACAGTGCTGAGGTACTGCATCACTCAATGTTTTAAGAAAAAAAAGTATTAGAAATATTTTCTTTTGTGACACAGGCTATAGGTCTTCCAGTCCGAAAAAAAGACTGAATAGAAACCTGAGGACAAGTACAAAAGCCTGTCAAAAACTAACTTTACCTTTGACAGTCACTGGCCACAGGCCATCCAAATGAAATACGAGACTTTATCAATGCCCATGAATTATTCACAAAGTCCATCAATAATTCCTTGAACCAGTCTTGAGTTTCAGAGAAGAGACAGGTTGCCTATAGAGCGTAGTCTACATGTCAAATAGACCAAAACTTCACAAATGGAAACTATTCCAACCCCCTACAAACACACTTTATCAATATCTTTATTAGATCTTTTTCTATTATAAACAATGGCGAGTTTAATTGAAAAATGCAGAGCTTTGCATGATTCCAAGCAAAAAGGTAGTCATTACCGGAAAAGAATTTAATTTGTTTCATTGACTTTTGGGGAGAAGCAGTGTGATGAGATGGGAAACAGAAGTGAGCATTTGGCATTTATGACAGGTCATTAAGATTGTCTCCTGATTACAGTGCAGGTATCTGATTAGGAAGTGCAGTGTTTCACACCTGTCGGGGGGGATGTGTTGAGTGTATGTTATCAGAACAAAGCTAATTACTTCCTTTTTGATCTCCTAACCTCGCTTATGATGAGCCAGAGGACAAAGTTGTTTCACAGGGCGGGAGTGTGGCTACACCTCCAGCTGAGATTCTGATTAGACTTTGTGTGGATCTGTGATACATTACCCACCCGCTAACTCGCAGTTTTGTTCACTCGGATATGTTTTAGCAGAGAATCACTGCTATGTTATTACTTATTCCACCCATGTCGTTTTTGTGACAAAGTCACAATTTATAACAGAAAAAAGAATGATGTGGAAACCCAACCAAAAAAACCCCCCAAAGCTGAACTTTGTTACAAATCATTCATTTTATGACCTAAGCTGTCAACTACAAACCTTAATGTGATTTTTAAACAAGCAATCAATTTGCGTAACAGGGATTATTTTTCACAGGCTCTTACAGAAGCACCTTGGCACATATGGCAGGATATAAGGCAACACAAATGCATTTAACAAGTTGTCATTGCTAAATTGAACTACACTGTTTTGCTCTTAACTAGTTTCATATTACATAAACAGCAGCACTCAGTTGGCACATTTAAAGAACCACACACACACACACACACACACACACACACACACACACACACACACACACACGGTGGTTCAGCTATCTTAGTGATGGCTGAACGACATCTCTAACCCGAACTATCCATCCATTTTTTTCCCGCTTATCCCAGCCTGAGCAGAGAAGCCCAGACCTACCTCTCCCCAGCCACCTCCTCTAGCACCTCAAATCAAATCACTTTTATTGTCACATCACATGTGCAGGTACACTGGTACAGTACATGCGAGTGAAATTCTTCTGAAAACCTCCAGGCCAGCCGAGAGATATTATCTCTCCAGCCTGTCATGTGTCTGCCCCGGGGCCTCCTCCCGGTGGGACATACCTTGTCAGATGCCTGAACCACCTGAACTGGCTCCTTTCGATGTGGAGGAGCAGCGGCTCTACTCTGAGCCCCTCCCAGATGGCCGAACTTCTCACCCTATCTCTAAGGGAGAGGCCAGCCACCCTTCGGAGGAAGCTCATTTCCGCTGCTTGTATCCGCAATCTCTTCTTTCGGTCACTACCCACAGCTCGTGGCCATAGGTGAAGGTAGGGAAGTAGACTGACCAGTAAAATGAGAGCTTCACTTTTACGCTCAGCTCTCTCTTCACCACGACAGACCGGTACAGCGTCCACATCGCTGCAGCCGCAGCACCAATCCGTCTGTCGATCTCCGGCTCCCTTCTTCCATCACTCGTGAACAAGACCCGAGATACTTAAACTCCTCCACTTGAGGCAGGAACTTGTCCTGCCCCAACCCTAACCATCAAAAATGAATACCTAATCCTAACTCTCACCCTAAACCTAACCATAACCATAACCTAATTGTAAACCTGACACTAAAACCACATTTTGAGCCTCAAAAAAGCCTTTAAACTCGTGAGGACCAACGTGTGTGTCCTCACAAATGACTGTTGGTCCTCACAAGTATAGTAGAATGCCAGTTTTGGTCCTCACAAAGATGTCTAAACAGGAACACACACACATGAGCTGAACTGCAATGTGTTAGATGGGGAGGCCATATCAGCAAAACACTTTATAACCCTTTATAACTTAAGCTATAACTTGCTATACAGACACACAAATCGGTCATCTTATTGCATTTGCTATAGTAAAAGCTTGCAGCATAGTCTATAGTCTCAGCTGATCAGAGTGTGGGCTGTTGTTTTCTGTACAACAGGACATCTCTGTCTGCATGTGAAGTGGGGAGCAGACCTTTTAGTGAGTACCCATTGTCTAATCAGAGCACTAAAGAGGCACAGACCTGCCCACTCATTACATTTTAGCTCACAATTGCGTGTCTGACAAACGTCTCACTGGCTGGCTTTACAAGCTCGTCCACACAAATCAGTGTGTTATTATGTGCTGCGAGCGCAGAGTGGGTGTTGAATGGTGGCCGTCAGTCATTTCAGATCATACAAAATGGAGCCATAAGACCACTAGTGTGACTGCGACAATACCCGTTTCCACACAACAAAAGTATGAGTGAGAAGATTTTATGTTAATGGCAGATGCTAGGGTGTAGTTCTCTTTAATTACTGAGAAAGCTGGGCGATCAGTGCTAACCTGGCCCGACCTGCCACAAGTTAAATTCCTACATTTTTATATATTAAGGAATAGGGCTGAACGATTATGGAAAATAATCTAATTTGCCCCAATATTGCGATTGCGATGTGATATGCGATTATTTTTTAAGGTCTTTGTCTTCTGTATTATTAAACAAAGACAAGCAATACATCATATAGTATGGCCAATACTATATTACATTAATTTTAAACTGTTCTTTCCTGGAAGACAGACCTCTGTTATGATGACATGAGGTGATGCATGAATTGATGACTGACATTTTTATTTAACTTCTTCAATCACAACAGTATATTTGAACATACACAACAGTTTATTTTTAGCTTACAAACATCTGAGCATAAAGTGCTGACAAGGAACCCTGGTGTAAACATTAAAATGAAAGTCAGTACAATGTGCAGATTGCAGAAATAT